TACACACCTGGATGGTTTCCAGTTCAATAACATACACTATACAATATGAGTTGTGTTGTAAATTCAAACTTAGAATATATTTTCGCTTTACTACAAAATTACAATCGGCTTGCACGACACCAACTAGTTATTACAAAGAGTTTAGTGGTTACAACACTCACTAAAACATGACTCAATTCTTTAATGGTGCAACTCTATTAAGCGACTAATGTATTAGAATATGTTACTGGTGCAACACAATCCTGGAGGCTTTGGCTTCAGGGAAATGAGTAAATTAGTCTGATGTCACTCTGTGCGGCACAAAAGGCAAACATATTTTCCAACAATGCCAAGAAATTAAGATTTAAACTCTTGACAACTTCATGTGTATTATGCAAAGTGTTTAAAATATCAGGTGCAGTGGTCTCCACTCTAAATATAGTCTCATAATTGAACTGAACGAACAATAGCATATAGTCCCAGGTGGCTGTTCTTTGGGAACACATACACCAGCCCATTATTCTATGACTAATCATGAATACATTTTTTTTATGTAATCCCAATTCAACAGAGCAGTATTAGTGTTGCCATTAGACACACGATGATTTTTTTTCTCCAGATTTCAATCAAAGCCATTAATTTGTTGACGCATAATGTTGACATTGACTCAGCTGCACATTACCATACAGAGCTGTGTGAGCGGTGAGCAACGTGATGCTGCTGATTGCTGTAGTTTTTGGAGGCGTTCTTGGTGTAGGTGGAGGTGTGTGGGAGAGCCTGCATTCTGTGCATGTAATGAATTCAGCCTCTCCAGAGCCAGATTGGTTTAAAACTGTGCAACAGTGCTTCACTTAAGGAGACAAAGAGGAAGAGATTAGCCTCTCAGTATGAACATGAACTCGCCGCTGAATAGTTATACAGTTGAATCTGTAGAGGTGTGTGTGTGTGACTGTCCTCTGTGTTTTCTTGTCCCTTTGCTGTACTGAAAGCCCCGACAAAGTGATACATTTTCCAGTCTGCATTTATTCTATTACAATTTCTCTATGTCGGGGTAGTTTTCACTCCCGCAAAACTGGATGTTTTTGGAACTATGTTTTGAAATGTAGGATAAACTTGGCCAATTAAGTTAACTAGAAGAAATCAAAGATGTAAACTGAAACAGACTTAAAATAAGAAAATAAAATGTTAACATCAATACTACTTTAAATACAATGTTGATTCAAATTCGGTTTTTGAATGTGTGTGAAATTAATGTTAGTTTCTAAGAGCAATTGGCGCTGCTCTGTACGAACAAGGTGTGAAAGGGTGAACGACTTGTAGTATGCAAAGTGATTTGAGGGATCGGAAAGACCTGATAAAGCGCTATATAAATACAGTCCATTTACCATTTGACCATTTATCAATCTCTTGTTCTCAGTGTTTGGAATGCAAGCAACTTTTTCAGAGGATTTAAGAGGTCCGGCTGTTTCATTTCAATCTCAATCTCAATCTTTATTTATTTATATAGCACATTTAAAACAACCTTCAGTTGACCAAAGTGCTGTACAGGCAATAACTACAATATAAAATAACACAATGGGAATACAATAATAAAACAATAATTAAAAACATGATAAAAAGCACATTAACTAGAAACATATAAAAACACATATAAAATGTAAAAATGTAATGTTCAACTAGTATTAAACGCAAAGAGGTGAGTTTTTAGCTGAGATTTAAAAAGTTCAATAGACTCAGCAGTCCGGATATGTACTGGGAGGCTGTTCTATGTACAAGAAGGTGAGCAATATATGTTGACGCTCCGTGATTAACTGCGTCAATCAGAAAACAGCGGATCATAGTATTGTAACTTACTTGTGGTGAAGCCATTATTACATTTAAACCTATCTTGTCACAAAATGTATGTAAGAAAACAATGTTTTAAACTGACAAAAGTATATGTGGGGATGCTTCACAAGATACCACAAACAGACACAAATATTTGCCTTAATTTTGAGCCTCTGCTGTGCTCTAAAGTGCAGCCTTGAAGGAGTGCTGCTGCTGCTGCCTTTGTTCTGTGTGTTTGGTTTGAAGGCTATTTCCGCAAACTCCCACTCCTCTGCTCCCGCACCGTCTCAGTGTCTCTCGCTGTGTCATCTCTTTGTCTGACACTCGCTCACTCACTCACTCACTCACTCACTCGCTCACTCACTCACTCACTCACTCACTCACTCACTCACTCACTCACTCAATTTATTGACAATAGTTTGATTTGATATGCTGCCCTTGATAGCTATCTTGTTATTTTAGTGTAGAAACAAATCTCCCAAACAAAACTATACCTTCCTTAGTAATCTGACAGAATGGCATATAACGTGCACTATCTACTGGTATGTAAATAAGGATACAGTATGCTCTGATTTATACATATAATTCGACTGATCGCCCAACTAACCAATATGTTATAACTAACATATAAATAATACTGATGATGTCATATTCCTGAAACAGAAAATGTACAACTTTGAGTCAACATTAAAACAGATAAATGTGGCGTTTGAAAGTCACTACAATGTCATTTCCCAGGTTGTAAGAAAATACGCTGTCAGGTAGGGCTGTGCGATTATGGCAAAAATCATAATCACGATTATTTTGGTCAATAATTGATATCACGATTATTAAAAACGATTATCCATTTACTTTGAAAACATCCATATATTGAAAAAAAAATTTGAACAGTATGTTTTTAACAGTTGATTACCCTGAACTTTAAGTATAATTCAACAGAAAAAAAAAAAAAATTACATTTAAAAAATTTTTTTTTAATAAAAATAATAATCGTTTTATTTCGATTACATTGTTTTCGTAATCGTTGCAAGCCAAAATCGTAATCGAGATTAAAATACGATTAATTGCACAGCCCTACTGTCAGGTAGTATTTGGCTACTGCAGCATTTTGTAAACTTGGCCTGTGCTACATTATTAATTGTCTCTATCTCTGGTACATCAACAGGCCTTCAGTATCCCTTTCATATTTGTGTTTGCCCAACTTGTAAATATCAGTTTCCCCCCAGAGTAGTCCCCAGTTTTTTCCAAAGAAATTAAAGAATTTCATGTGGTTGGTCTATGAATGAACCTTGCTACAACACTTCCTGTGAATTCTCCTAAAGAACTAGTGTAGTATACCTGGGGAGGTTTTGTATTGGGTTGTTTTAAGTTTAAAACATCACGATCAATGTACTTCTTTATTTGGATTACTACTCCACCACCAAAAGCATTCCTTTGTGATACAACACTATCCAACATTAATAGCCCAATGTATAGATGCTAGTTCACATTTTAATGTGGAAAGAAAATGTACACACACTCAGGTGAAATAATGCAATTTTTTAATAGATGTTTTAGATTATCTACAACAAACACAGCGTAGCGTTCAGGATCGTTTTTTCAGGTTTTTCGGAAGAAGTGTGAACGTGGCCTCACTCATTCACTCGCTCATTCGGCCTCGCTCCCTCCCACTGCTTTCAGGAGAGATTCTGCGTGGGCTTACACTTGAATTTCTGCCATGTGCTTTCTACCCCCTGCTTTCTATCTCTCTCTCTCTCCACACACACACACACACACACACACACACACACACATACACACACACACACACACACACACACACACACACACACACACACACACACACCCTCCCCCATAGTTTCTAACGCCGTCCTAAGATATGAGTTAGTATATTTGTATGGTGAGTTAAACAGAGAGAGAAATCTGGGGATAATTTGCATTCCTTGGATAATTTACACAAGTTAATTCAATTATTACTTACTGAATAAACAGTTGACATTGACCCTCTGACAAAGTGAAAGCTTTAATACTTGCGGTTCACCGAATTGGCTCGATTGATCTCACCTTGAATATATGGAAAATGTGTGGCAGTGACATTGTAGCACTTTCTCATCATTATGTTATAACCTCATCTTCCTCTAATTTAAATGAATATAAAACCGTATTTGTTTCCATTGCTACAAGAATCATTCACCTTCATGATTTGCGGTGTATGTCGGTAAGAGATTGCCTGCAGGTTGCTCGTGTTGCTGTTTCATATTGTTTGTGTGTAGGTGGAGGGACATCAGTGTGTGCGTGTGTGTGTGTGTGTGTGGGTAGATGTGAGTAGATATGCCTGCCAGGTGTAGCTGTGCATTCTTTGTCTCTCACCGTACGAGTGTGGTACATTTTAATGGATATACAGTACCCTCTCAATGGCTGCATGTTGTCAGCATTACATCCAATCAGTTTGTTTTTCTCCTCTTCCTGTCCTTGAGCTTCATCCTTTTTGTTACCTTTGACCTATTTCTGTGATTAAATGTATCCAACGACACAGATGTTTACATTAATCTCAAGAAAGCAAAGAGCTGGGCTAGATTTATCGACTAATGTATCTACTAATATATCTACTAATGTATCTACCTGCACCATTTTCTCAATTTTAACCCACATTTATTTTCCTTTTCAGGCCGGCACAAATAGATATTAATTGAACTCTCTTAGCAAAGTACGGTACCACTTTACAATAAGACTACCCTTATAAATGGTTTACGAATAGTTTGTAATTCATTTATTTATTAGAGAGCCCACATTTATCTGTACTGCTAAGCCTTATATTGGCTACCTAGCTTACTTCGTCTTCTTCATCAGCCAGCATCCTCCTTGGTATCTGTTGCTCACTGAGTTGATTCTCGCTAAGTAGCCAATGTAAGGCTTAGTCATCTTGCCAAATAGTGAGCCTGTGTTAATGTATGAAAACTATGTTAGAACTGGTTTATAAATGGTTCTTAATGATTAATAAAGTGTTTACAACCTAATTCATAACCTACTTAACCCTTTATGAATCCTTTATAAGGGTAGTCTTATTTTAAAGTGGTACCCAAAGTACTATAAGAAATATAACAATGTAGTGTTTGCCAAGCAGCCCTACACCATCACAAATAACTGTGGATTAAGTATACATAATGTGTGTGTGTGTGTGTGTTGTCCATCAGGATCATGGCCACTGCTGGAGCCCACATGAACATCCCCGTCGACCTTCGGACCCTGAGGGCGGTGCGAGTGCTGAGACCTCTTAAACTCGTCTCGGGGATACCCAGTGAGTCAGCCACTGATCCCTGATCCTGCACCGTGAGGTCGAACTAACTGATATAAATGCAAATAACACATCATTATTCTTTGCAAGTAAATGTTCGGACGGTTTCAGCTGGCGTTTGAGAATGTGTCAGTAATCTTACATTTCCTAATACTACTTGAAAAAAATGTGTTTACAAAACATTCAGAAAATTGCATTTGTTTTTGCAAGAAGGTGCTCAATCCCTTTATGTGTAAGGCAGACCATCGATACAATTGTGGGTGCATCATTTCAAGGTTTAAGATTAATGTTGAGGTCCTTATGAGCTTGGAGCCTGTGCATTTTGCAATGACACTAAAGTCATTTTCCCAAACACACCAATGTATTCAAAATCTATGGCGTCTGATTTAAAAACCTGTGAAACATAGCTAAGATATGTAGAAACATTTCGGAAAGCAGGTGTATTGCAGTTTATTTTCCATTCTTAACAGCTCATAACTGCATTTATAGTGACAAGACTGCATTCTGTTATTCATCTTGAGGGAGTTAGGTGGAACGAAAAACTCATGGCAGAGTCTGAGGCTACTGAATATGTTCTCTTAAGTCTCAAGCTGAGTTTTGGCAGGACTTTACTTTTAAAGATTCAACTGCTATCACTGTGGTGGTGATACAAACTTATGTTGGAGAAATACAAAATATACTGTATATGCAATTGAAATAACTTACGTTTTAGTGCAATTAGCATGAACTCTTAATGAGCAGAGAAGAGGCACTGACAAATACATTTAATTTACAATATTGCTAGGAAAACTACCGTGTTGTTATCCCTGACTTTTTCTTTGTGAATGCTTCAAGGCCTGCAGATTGTTCTGAAGTCCATCATGAAGGCCATGATCCCGCTGCTACAGATCGGCCTGCTCTTGTTCTTCGCCATCCTCATGTTCGCCATCATTGGTCTGGAGTTTTACAGCGGGAAGCTTAACCAAAACTGCCTGCCATCTGTCGAACTCCTTGGTGCGTTTATTTGTCTTGTGGAGCAAGGAGGGCAGTCATCTCTCTTGCTAAAAAGAGTGTGAAAGTAAATAGTTAGACACGAGTCAAAAGCTTTGGATTCGGTCCTGAATTGGCAGATGTCTTAAAACACTTACTCAAATATATTCTCATTGTGTTGGTATTGTCCTTGAATTGTTGGCTCCTTTCTTGTTTTGTTAATCACTGATTCAATCTGGATTCAATCAAAAGACATTTCCGATGTTTGTAGGAGGGCAAATATTGTCACTAATCAAAACAAACCTCTCGATGTCAGTTCTTCAGAATTAGAATAAAAGGTTTAATTCACATTCAAACAACAAACATGTTCACCCTTTAGTTGTAATGCTTGGAAGGCATAATGATGTCCAACAGCTTAAGGATTCATTTTGGCTTGCCTACCTCTCCATCTGTGTGCACCTTCTGTCCTGAGGGGAGACGGCTTTTAACACAAAACTGAAGCAATTGTCAAAAGTTGTTTGATGATTAATTATTCACTTTGATAGGTTAGCAGCAGGTACAGTACACCAAAAGTGGTTTGCTCAAATGTCTCAAGCAGAGGGTGTGAATATCTTTGTTTGAGACTCTGAGTCTTTCATAGATTACAGAAGCAGCGAGCTAAGAGGTATTATTAGAGTTGTTGCTGGCTAATTTAGCTACTGCTTAATTACTCAACAACTACTCTGTAATCACGCGCCACACCATAGCATTTATCTCCCAGCACCACTCAAAGATGGTTTTAAGATTATAAACCAAAATAAGTATAAACTGTATTTAGAACAGGAAAATTAATTTTCTTATATTCACAGAATATTCAAAGTTTAAAAATACCCTCCAGACATGTTTTAATACATGTACAAATATTTACATACAATCTCATTTATGAACAGAAGGGGACTTTAAGATATATTTGCCATCACTGCAGAATGCATAATCTGCTGTAAAAGTCTTATTAAATTGTCTAGTAAAAGCACAAGTAATAGAATAAATGACGTGAGATAATATCCAGTAAAAAGATCATACATTGTTCAGAAACGGTGAACTCAGTGTTTCTTTAGCGTATTGTTCTGTAGAGCTCATTCTTAAAAATATTTTTTGTAAATGGAACAAGTTGTGGTTACAAACACGCAGGATACACAAAATAAAGTTGAATAAAACATCAACAGCCATCATGAGAGTTTGTGGTAATAAAGAAAGCTGTGTCCGTAACTATATGTTTCCTTTCTTTGTAGAAAATCAGACGGTTGACTCGTCAGAGTTGGCGTTCGCCTGCGGAGTGAGGAAGTGTCCGGAGGGCTACGACTGCAACGACACCTTGATCGGACCCAACGACGGCATCACGCAGTTCGACAACATCCTGTTCGCTGTGCTCACCGTCTTCCAGTGTATCACCATGGAGGGATGGACGGCCGTTCTCTATAATGTGAGCTTCAGTTCTGCTGAAAGGAACGAACCTCAAAGCATCAGGAAGTTGTTGTTTAATGACATGAATGTAATGGGTTTCAGACCAACGATGCTTTGGGTACCACATGGAACTGGATGTACTTCATCCCTCTCATCATCATTGGCTCGTTCTTCGTGCTGAACCTGGTTTTGGGAGTCCTGTCCGGGTGAGTGTGACTCTTCCTCTGTGGATAATGACATGGATGTTTAGGTCTGTATTACTTTCGTTTTTTTTGCTTCCTTATTCAGAGAGTTTGCCAAGGAGAGGGAGAGGGTGGAGAACAGGCGGGCCTTCATGAAGCTTCGCCGCCAGCAGCAGGCGGAAAGAGAACTGAACGGCTACAGAGCCTGGATAGACAGGGCAGGTACTGGGCAGCAGAACCACTTCACTCCTGCACACACACACACACACACACACACACACACACACACACACACACACACACACACACACACACACACACACACACACACACACACACACACACACACACACACATGGATGTTTGGATGGACAATAGGTCCCCCACCCCTGGTACATACAGTAAAAACTAGAGCCACAAATTCTGGGCGACATTTTGTGACTTTGCTTTACTCTTTTCTAGTTTTGCTGTCTCTTTGTGGTGTATTTGTCTTTTTTTGGTTGTTGTGTGTCTTCTTTTATATAAGTGTTGCGTCTCTCATTGGTCTTTTTGTATGTTTTTTGTCATTGTTAGCATCTCTTTTTGGTTAATTTAGTTTATCCTTGTGTTCATTTTGTGACTAATTTTGGTATTCCTGATCTCTATGGAAGGTTTGTTTATTTTTTTGGACTACATTTTAGAAGTAACTCTGTAAGCACACTAGTAGTACAATTTCAATGAAAACGTGCTTAAACTGTGTGAAGCCAAACGCATTTAAAGGAACTGGTATTTAGTCTGTGAAATTAATTTACTGTTGCATTATGGTCAGGCTTTTTCACAGCTGATTTCGTAAAGCTATCTCGCTGCAACAGACACACAGTTTTGGAATCTACAGTACAGTATTTCCCTTGAGTTGCACACACACACACACACACACACACACACACACTGGTGTAATGGCAATCTACATTGCGAGTCTCCCACACAAGTAGAGGGTGAGAAAAGGTTATACTGACTCACTGACTACATTTTTGTGCACACCCATTGGTTTGTGTGTTTACATGCATGTGTGTGTGTGAGAGAGCTGCAGTGCATATTTATGTGTACATGGATGTGGGTGAGTGTGGGAAGAGAGAGAGAAAGAGAGATATTGCGAGAATTGAAGTGAGAATAAGAGCTGTTTCTCTAAAGAAGGTCATAGCGGCCTCTCAAAGTTACATTCACATCAGTTCCTGTAAATGCTAGCAGACATCCTAAAGAGTACAACCATTCAACGTATATTTTCATGCCTGATCATTCAAATTGTGCCTCTTTTAAAGCAAATAAATCTGTGTATAACTTCAAGTTTTCTGATATTACAGAGGAGGTTATGCTGGCGGAGGAGAATAAAAGTTCTGGGAGATCGCCGTTAGATGGTGAGTTCACACACCTTTGGATAATCACTCCTACTTACACATGGATCTGTGATGATTCAATATTATATAACGGCCCAAAAATATAATCTGTCTTGTTGGATTCAACTGTTTTACTCAATATCTACTGTATGTCTAGTAACATGTCAAACGTACTTCTTAAAGTACAGCGTTGGATAACCAATGATAATTTCATTTTGCTGTTTCTCCTTTTTATTTAAAATATAAAAATGTATTTTCAGTGCTAAAGAGAGCGAGTAAGAAGACTGGTGCACGGAGAGGAGCGCCAGGGGACGAGAAGTATACAGACATGTCTACTGCCAGTGAGTATAACTTTGTTCAGTTACTCGCACAACCTTAAGAGCAGACTTCTTCTCCTAAGTCACATACTGTATTTTTATCCTACAGAATACCACTTCCTTACCCTCCTGAACTAATTTTTTCCATCTTTCTCTCTCAGGCATGTCTCGATCCAGGATGAACTTCCGCAGCGGCCGGCGAGGCCCAGCAGCCTACCTGCGGCGCAAAGAGCGCATGTTACGCATCTCCATCCGCCGCATGGTGAAGACGGACACTTTCTACCTGATGGTGCTCAGTCTTGTGGCTCTCAACACCATCTGTGTGGCCATCGTCCACCACAACCAGCCCGACTGGCTGACCATCTTCCTCTGTGGGTTCACTTTTTACATCAAAGTATCATTTACTGCTTTACAAATAATGCAGGTCAAAAATGTGCCTCATTCTAATTGTACTTAATTGATTTCTCCTCTCCAGACTATGCAGAGTTTGTTTTTCTGGGGCTGTTTTTGGCTGAGATGTTTTTAAAAATGTATGGTCTGGGTTTCCGGCTCTACTTCCATTCATCTTTCAACTGCTTTGACTGTGGGGTGAGGTCCTTCATAAACTTTTTTCTGACTTATATTACATTCTGAACAAGAGAAAAACTAACTCAAAGAAATGTAGTTCCATATCACGAAGAAAGAGTTGGATTTCTGTTGCAAAATGAGGAATAATAAGCAAAATATTTCTTACTTTAGATTATTGTAAGACATGTTTTGTATCATTCAAATATAAGAATGTAAATCTAAAACATGACGACTATACCTACTGTAGCACATTAAAACACATGCATAACAAGTACCCTGTATTATCAAGCCACAATTAAAGACAGAAACACTTGTCACACATTAAACATTAATAAATAAATAGTCACATTTTGAAAATAGCACAGACAAAGTCGAGAATTTGTTGGGAGAGTGCTATCACATCCTCAAACAAGAAGCTTGGTCAGTTATCTTTAAGCTCTCCTCAACCCCAAATATGGCTAACAAAGGGGTTAGGATCAAAAACCTGTGCATTGATTTGAGAGCAATAAAAACACAAATATAAAAATGCACACATCTTTTCTCATTTACTCTAGATATGATGTTGTTTTTGTCAAATTGCTTCTGGTCACATGGAGCCTTATTGGACACGATTTGTGATTGCTGTCATGTGTTTCAGGTCATTGTTGGCAGCATCTTTGAGGTCATTTGGGGTTTCTTCAGGCCCGGCATGTCATTTGGGATCAGCGTACTGAGGGCGCTGAGACTCCTGAGAATATTCAAAATAACCAAGTACGGGAGACAAAGTGGATTTTGGAGTTCTGGTGTATTTGTGTAAATATTCCCACATTGTTCTGACAAAAAAACATGTGATTTATTTTTTGATCAGATACTGGGCGTCTCTCAGGAACCTGGTCGTGTCCCTTATGAGCTCCATGAAGTCCATCATCAGCCTGCTGTTTCTCCTCTTTCTGTTCATCGTGGTGTTTGCTCTGCTGGGGATGCAGCTTTTTGGAGGAAGGTGAGTAAAAGGACTTCTAAACATCCGAATTTCTTAAGTTATAGAGGACCGCTTTCTTTTCTGGTCATGATTGTTGATGCCTAATGTCATCGTATATTTTAAGCTACTTCGGGCAATGTAAGCTACACACCCTGCAAACTGAACAGCCGTTTCTTGAATGATAAAGAGGAGAGGAAATGACATGTCCAGATGAAAATAGCTCTGCATCCTCCTCCTCCTCTTCTTCCTCCTCCATCTTTTCTTCCTTGGTTGTATCTGACCCTGCTTTCTATCTTCCTTCCCTCTAGGTTCATCTTTGAAGATTACACTCCCACCAACTTTGACACGTTTCCAGCTTCCATCATGACAGTGTTTCAGGTTTGGCTCCCGCAGATCCCCTCATTCTGCTTGCTCTCCATGACACATTGCACCCTGGGATATTTCTCACCCCAGGCGCAGATTAAACAACTCTCCTCACTCGCTCTCCACCCCCTGCCTCCGCTATCATCCCACACAACCATGCACACATATGCGCACATGAATATCAGAAACGTGAACAAATCCACATCAGATCTGCTACAAAAACCAACCGCACTGTGAAAGAGTGTTTTGATCAACACAAACAGTAATTACCTTTCTCCTTGACAATTTAAATACCATATCTTGAACGGGTTTGCATACAAGGAATATATATATATATAGCCTGCTTGGGGAATTTTTAGGCAGATCAAATATGAGCAACGTAATTATTTATGTGCATTTGCCTACAGATTCTGACTGGTGAGGACTGGAACGAGGTGATGTATGACGGGATTCGCTCGCAGGGTGGAGTGCAGTACGGCATGTGGTCATCAATCTACTTCATAGTGCTCACCCTGTTTGGAAACTGTATCCTTATTGACACTGTGGATTCTTTAGTAAAAGCTGTGATACTGCAGTGAGTGGTATAACAGTCCATCACAAATAAAAGTGCTGCATTCAAAGTTTGTTGTGCTTGTTCTTAACTGCTTTCATGACAGACACACTACTGAATGTCTTCTTGGCCATCGCTGTGGATAATCTGGCCAACGCACAGGAACTGACAAAGGTCTGAACAGTTTTTACCTCTGTTTTTTTTTATTTAAAGGGGACCTATCATGCAAAATGCACTTTTGTACGTCTTTTATACATGAATATGTGTCCCCGGTGTTCCAGGGAACTCACCAAGTGTCAGAAAACACAACCCTCTCTATTTTCCTCCATACCCAAATCTCTAAAAAAGGGGCTGCAACGGATCTGATACAGACTGATCCAGATTTGAACACTGTCCTGACGTCAGGACAGTGGCGCTACGGCTATTGGGCCAACTCCACCAATCAGGAGGAGACAGCCACGGCCATTGCCGTTCGAAAGCGCTGGAGACGCTGTAGTACATATGCCAGGCCTGTAGATGGTGCTGTTCTCACAGAATCAGCCCTTGTAAAAACAGGGGTAAAAAAGTCCAAATTGAGCGAAATGAGGCATGGCTAAAATGCATGATCTGTTTGGTATTTTGAAAAAAAAAAAGTATAAATATGCCTTATATAGGTATGGTCCTACACTATATTATTATAATATAGCATGATAGGTCCACTTTAAATATATTTATCGCACACATTCAATGATGTATGTTAAATGTGCAATAATGAATAGGTTTATGCATCCTTTAAATGTGAATTTATGTTGTCTTTATCAGGATGAAGAGGAGGAGGAGGAGTTCTTCAACCAGAGATATGCCAGAGGCAGAGACGGCCTGATATCTGAGTAAGTTGTTGCTTAAGAGCTAACAAAAATGAGCTTTTTAGGAAGTTCTTAGTCGTGAGTGTGGGACTGTTTCTCAGATAAACTCTCAGATTGGGCTGTATTTGTCACGACTCCTCAAATTGTTTTGCAGCAGATGCAAGTAGTGAATTCAAACTCAATGCTTGTGGGAGAACTGGTGGTGATCCTGCATTTGATCATCATGCTGCTTCTATGAAAAAGTGTCAAAATCAATTAGGGGTAACAACTAAGATCAATATTTATGTCAGTGTTTGTGGACTCTCTGAGAACCAGTAGGTGTAACTGAGGAATGCTCAATCTGCTCTTCAGTGCCTCCAGGTGCATGGTGAATGAAAAGCTAGAAAGGCATGTTTGAGGCATTGATGACATAACTCTGAATGGTTATTGGTTGTGCCTGATTTAGAAGCATGACCTCTGAGACTGGTTTTGCAGCATATATGAAACTCCTTCTGTAACAGTCTTGGCCTGCGAGCGGTAATGGGCAGCCTCTCTTGTTGTAAATGAGATTCTTCACTGACCTCCCGCTCCTCCTGATGGCTTTCCCACAGGTCTAATAATCCAGTAAGTCATGAGGAGGGCAGGAGGAAGTTTTCAAATGTTTTTGGGAACAGTTAGAAGTCTCAGTGTGTCACTCTACTGGGAGGAGGCACACTTTGGAGTTTGTGTGTCAAATGATGACTAAGAATCCCTTCTTGGTATGACTCTGTGTCATCAGTGTCACCACAGTGACAATGGAGGAGCTGTTAATACTAGAGTACATTTACTAACGCAGAGTGACCCATTCTTAAACACTGATTACTAAAGAGTATGTGAGTGTACTGCAGGGACATTAAGCTCAGGGCCTGGCAGCTTGATTAGGACTCCGATCATTATTTTTGCATGTTTTACACCATTAACTACACATTCTGAGTATTTCCATTTGTGGACAGAACCATATGAAAATCAACTTGCAGAAACTAACTTGAAATAAGAAATTAGTGGCAGTGTTTTTAATAAGTAATACATCTCTGTGATTGTTTTAACCTTTATTAAGTGTTTAAAGTCTCTGACAGCTGGTAATAATATGAATGTTTACACGATTGGTTAGTTAGGTTAAAACATGCAAAATCCCGGCTGAAATGATGGTGCATCCTTCAAACTCTCATGAAACTCATGAAATCATGTAGTAGTGATGAAAAAGTAGCATGTTTCCTAACAAAATGACAAATTGCATTACAGACAAAGTAAAACAAGTAGGCACTATTTAACTCTATTTAACTTAAAAAGTAAAAACACATGCAAATAATCACCTATACGTGCAACGACAGTAATGGTTAACGACTCTAGCTGTGACACTGAATGTATCATTTGTCTGTTACATATTTGAATGTCAGTCTTCTACTTGTTGCAGCTATCAAGATGCTATTTCTGATGTGTATTACAGTGTTCTGCTGCTTCCATCACGTTGTCCTGTTTTATGACTGTTATGTGGCACTGACCAAAATGTTGTGTATTTTGACGCTCTGTCAGCTTCTGAACCAATTTGAACCCTTAATTGACAAAACTATTTAATGGTAACGGCCAAACAAAAATGAAAGCTTCCAGATATTATGAATCTTAAACAATTGATTGTAGTCCCTTCTGGGATAGCTGGATAACTTCACATACACCTTTTTATACACACATGTTGTTCTGTGTCACGACAAATGTTCTGTGTATGTTGTAAAACACTAATGTCTTGTTTTCAAATAATCACTCATTGATTACATGGACAACAACAGAATCTGAACACCAGTAAGTATACGTGTATGCATCTCTGTCTCACAGAACTCCTCCCTTAAAGGGGACCTATCATGCAAAATGCACTTTTGTACGTCTTTTATACATGAATATGTGTCCCCGGTGTTCCAGGGAACTCACCAAGTGTCAGAAAACACAACCCTCTCTATTTTCCTCCATACCCAAATCTCTAAAAAAGGGGCTGCAACGGATCTGATAAAAACTGATCCAGATTTGAACACTGTCCTGACGTCAGGACAGTGGCACTACGGCTATTGGGCCAACTCCACCAATCAGGAGGAGACAGCCACGGCCATTGCCGTTCGAAAGCGCTGGAGACGTTGTAGTACATATGCCAGGCCTGTAGATGGTGCTGTTCTCCCAGAATCAGGCCTTGCTAAAACAGATCAAAAAAATGTCAAATTGAGCAAAATGAGGCATGGCTAAAATGCATGATCTGTTTGGTATTTTGAAAAAGAAAAAGTATAAATATGCCTTATATAGGTATGGTCCTACACTATATTATTCAAATATAGCATGATAGGTCCACTTTAAGTTTTCCTACTCAATTTGTGAGATTATTTTCCACACTAATTCCCGCACTTTACCTTTTTGGTTCTTGTGGTTTTTGGTTCTTTTTATCTGTCCCTACCTCTCAGGTATCTTAATTTTTTTAATTTTTGGATGTATTTGTAGTTTTTAGCTTGAAGTAATTTGCATATTTTTCCATGGGATTCTTTTTTTGTTACTGATTTACTAACATTATAAATCCATAGAAAAGGTCTGTCCTTTTCTTGCAACTTTTATTTGATTTGTTTGAGTATTCTTTGATCAAACTGGTATGCTAAATGGACACAAGTCTTGATGTTGCTTGTCACCAATTCCTCAATTGTTGCCTGTTGCTGCCTCATACTAATATGAAATACATTGATGTCCTTAGTGGGAGGAGAAGACCCTACCTATACAGGAAACGAGCCATCCACCGAGGCAGACCTAACTTCCCAGAGGAGCCCGAGGACAGGCCGGCGCCCCCAGAAGAACAGCCCCTCAAGGGCCCCAATGCCTTCGTCAGCCGCCGCGAGAGGAGGAGGAAAGTCCACATGTCGGTGTGGGAGCAGAGAGCCAATCAGCTGCGGAAACGTCGCCAGGTGGCCAGCAGAGAGGAGCTTTTTGCAGGCCCTACTGAGGACACAGAGGAGACTCCCGCCGTCGCCCTCCCCGCCCCCGAGGCCACCCCGGGTCACCTGCCCGAGTCTGTGGGGATGCCCATCCCAGAGCCCTCGATGTCCGTCACCATCCCCATCCCCGAGACCCCGGCGTCAGAGCCTCTGGTTAACCTGAGCGAGGAGAAAACAGGAGGAGGTAACCACCGGGCGGCAGGCGGGGGCCGGCACAGGATGGCCCGGAAGTTCAGACCCAGTCAGGGGGGGGGAGGACGGGGCCCGGCACAGGAGGCACCGTCACCGCGACGCTCGCCCTGAAGCCAAGAGTCTGGACTGCACCGTATCGCCTCATGAGGTGCCGCTGGTCAAACGGTCCCACAGCCAGGAGGGGGTCCTGGACGAGAAGGAGGAGAGGGACGACAGAGAGGGGGCAGAGAGAGAGGAAGGGTCCGTCCAAGAGGATGGGGGAACATGCATCATCAACCCATACGCAGAAGTTGGAGAAGAGTGTCAAGGGTAAGGAGGTTTTCATGTGTTTCTTGTTAAAGAAAAGACATTTGAAGGTTCTCATGAACTTTAGCATTGTGTTTTTTATCCATTGTCTTGTTGAGAGTAATTATCTGGTACAGACTATTTTAACTAGAATGTGACTGAGTATTTGTACTTAGCACAAGGTTTAGATGAGCCTGAAAGTAAATGTGGTTTCAAAAAAAAAATGTAAGACAAATTATAACTATATTATAATAATAATTGTGAAATAGATAATATGACATTTGTCTTGGTTCTTGAATGTAATAGGGTACTACACCCCACTATATAGGTGAGATTTCAGTAAGAATTGGTTGACATATGGAAATGACTATCTATAGTGACATGCTGCTAGCTAAAAATCTTTGGGGAGGATTAACATTTTGAACAAAATGCATGTTAATCCGATAAGTGTAAAGAAGATAAAGATAGAAATACAGCACAGCGCTTTTACACGGTTCTTTCTACAGGGACGATTCCCGTGTCATCAAATATTGATGTGTTCTTCCCCATTTCAGAGAAACTGCTGACCCTCCCCAGTGTGAGCAGCTGCCGGAGCGTCCCTGGTCAGAGCAGGTTGACGGAGAGCACACAGACCAAACCCTCCCAGTGGAGCCCGCCCTAGAGGCCACAGAGTTCAGTGTGAGGACCATCGAGTCTGAGAGCCGCCAGGTCTCCATCAAGCGTGCCAAATCCGACCCGGCGGAAAGTGTGGCCATCGAAATGTCTGCACAACCGCTGCTGGAGCTCAGGCCCATGACAGGTAGCTGTGATCACTCCTCACGGCACTCACGCTGCTTTACTGGGCATCATAAAGTGGGATTTAGTGTCGGTATCACTATGGATCACCGTGTGTAGGTGTTTGACATCTGAGAAGAGTGCCATTGTTTTTTCTTGATGAATCCATTGTGCCGGTGACTCACATTGTTCTTTCTTTATCATAGCTGTCCAAGCACTTTATTCTCTGCTCTTGCACCTTTGTCTGCGTTTTAGTGAACAGCAAAGAGTTGGAGGCGTACAATTCTGAACAGACGGACAAAGAGAACGATACCGAGGATGATGAGGAAGAGGACGACGACGACGAGGATGAGGAGGAGATGGAGGAACCTCCGACTCCTCCCAAACCTGTAGCTCCAGACAGCATGTTCATCTTCAAGGCCTCCAACCCGTAAGATGCTACAGAATCCACTAAATCACTGAATATCACATAATGTGCTGTGGTGTTTGCTTCCTCTTTGTGTGCGCACAAAATTCTTACATCTCTCCCCCCCCCCCCCCCCCCTTCGTTGATACGCAGAATCCGGAGGATCTGTCACTATATGGTCTCTTTGCGCTACTTTGAGATGACCATCCTCCTGGTGATCGTGGCGAGCAGCATAGCACTGGCTGCTGAGGACCCTGTGTGCACCAACTCCGACAGAAACAAGGTGAGATCAGAATACAGCCTCCTAAAGAAGCTATTGTTTTATTCATGATCTAAATTTAGATGTGGGACGATCAATTGCATGTAGGAAGAAAACGTTTTACTAGTCTCTTTTAGGAGTGCATTTGAGTACTTTTACACTGAAGGCCGGGGTATGGGAGCATTTGGCAAATGAAAATGTAACCTCACAAAAGCATTTACATTTTTAACCTACAAATGCAGGTCAAAATGTAGCATTTAAATGTAATAGACAGGGCAATTTGAATATTCAATACTAGCCTGGCAATTATCTGACAATATTACATTGAAAATGGAGGAGAAAGCCGTTTGATTCTTTATTTTCGAGGACTAAATCTAAACTCTAAAATGATCCTTTAAATTTGAGAATAAAAAAACAAAGTTTGAATATTTTGAGATGCGTTATTTATTTAACATTTGACACAGGAAGTGGGAAATGTCTGGATGTTGGTTTGAGATTAAGAAATCAGTGGATGTCTATTCGTTAATTTCATTTGGTTTTATACTTCTTTAACTAATAAGAAGTTTGTGAGCACTTATTGACTTGTATTGACTTAACACCAGAGCAGTCTGATGTTAATACACTGACCGCTGCCGCTATTATTAAATGAATTACTGACCAAGTGTTAATCCATCGATCCTCCAGGAAGCAAATATTTCCATATAACACAGAAAGACAAAAGTTACTCACTCTGAAACACAAATGACAATTTTCAGGTTTACCGTTTGATCTCAATTCAACTTAACACTGTGTCAGCAACAATGTGTGGTGACACTTTGGTTTCACACACATTCTACTTGAGCAATAGCTGGGCACTTTGTTTTTCACAACTCCCTGTCGCTGGAAGTGTCAAGAGTAACCAAATAAACACAGTGTAGTCATTTCTATACTTTAATATCAGAGAGACAGAGTAAAGATCTACTAAGGGCACTTCAAATGACATTCAAATGTTTCACACCATCGACTGGAGTGACTAAATTCCCATATGTGCTGCAGCAAACCTTGACTTAAAGTGGACCTATCATGCTATATTTGAATAATATAGTGTAGGACCATACCTATATAAGGCATATTTATACTTTTTTTTTTCAAAATACCAAACAGATCATGCATTTTAGCCATGCCTCATTTTGCTCAATTTGACATTTTTTAAATCTGTTTTAGCCAGGGCAGATTCAGTGAGAACAGCACCATCTACAGGCCTGGCATATGTACTACAGCGTCTCCAGCGCTTTCGAACGGCAATGGCCGTGGCTGTCTCCTCCTGATTGGTGGAGTTGGCCCAATAGCCGTAGCGCCACTGTCCTGACGTCAGGACAGTGTTCAAATCTGGATCAGTTTTTATCAGATCCGTTGCAGCCCCTTTTTTAGAGATTTGGGTATGGAGGAAAATAGAGAGGGTTGTGTTTTCTGACACTTGGTGAGTTCCCTGGAACACCGGGGACACATATTCATGTATAAAAGACGTACAAAAGTGCATTTTGCATGATAGGTCCCCTTTAAATATTTACTGCTCTTGAAGAAGTACAGAGACAGACTCAACACCTCCTGAAAATCTAAATGGACGCTATTCTGATCAAATGTACGAGTAAAAAGAAGGAGCGGCTCACGACCACAAAAAAAGCTGAATTAAAATGCGGTTGTTGTAACAGCTCAAGACAGATCTTGGGAAACAGAAATAAAATAGTATATAACATCTGTTTGTATCATTTGCTGTTAACGTAAAAAGTGTGCTGATTTACATGCTGTGACAATACGTATGCGGTACATACATGTAGAGTATGTATCCTCAGAATCAATAACCTTTTTATTTGCATTTACATTTTTGGGTACATTTTCCAGGTCCTCCGTTATTTCGACTACGTGTTCACTGGAGTGTTCACCTTTGAAATGATCATCAAGGTCAGCCACTGAAGCATCTATTTTCTCCATTTATATTACACCAATCCTGAAGAATATGACGTTCTCCAAATGTTCTGTCCCTGTGTGTATTCAGTCTTTTCACTTGACATGTCCCTGTGGGTGTTTGTCCTTCAGATGATAGACCAGGGTCTCATTCTGCACGACGGCTCTTATTTCCGAGATATGTGGAACATCCTGGATTTCATCGTGGTGGTGGGAGCTCTGATTGCTTTTGCTTTAACGTGAGTCACAACAGTATATAGCCTGCCGATGACTAATGACTGACTCACTGCGGCAATTCCTTTTCTAAACATACAGTATGGTTATTTACCACATTCCCCCAAAGACGCCCTTTTGTAGCTTCAAAAATAAATGTTGCTACAGTTAAAAACTGCAAATATAGAAGCATGCATGGCCCTGTGAAGTGTGTTACTCAGATTTAAATGTCACCATGAGCCTACAACATGAGGAAAAAGTACATTTCGGTGTATCTTTGCGCTATACATGGGTGGAGTGTGAAGCTAAAAACCCTTTTCAATATTTATATTTGTCGTAGTTCCAAGCATGAGTGTGCCGAATAACCTCCTGTGCCTCCGGTTGTACTGTAGAGAATTGTACTGTATGTTAATTTCTCTGTTGTGAATATTGCTGTGATGCTCCAAGCTTTGCTCACAGTGAATCTCTCAATTTTTCTCTGTTGTTCCTGTGGATTTTATCACTGTTGGGGCTACCAGGAATGTGATGGGGTCAGTCGCACTAAATGTTCGCATCTCTCACCATCTTCTTATGTATATCTCTCTTTTTTTTATCTATGTGATTTTTCCTTTTGCATTCAGTATGTTTTTTTTTGTTTTTGTTATGTCTTTTTAATCTCACCAAACTGCAGAGCCAGACAGGTAACAGGTAACAGCTTTGATCATTTGGGCACGCTAATATATAATTACGTAATTCTGTCCCTTAATTACATGTAAACATCAAGTGTGGCTATATACACCCGGGTGCAAATAGCTTTGTTGACTATAGTCACCCGCAAATAACATCTGCCTTAACAAATGGGACCCTCAAGTCAGGACCTTTTTTCTCCTGTAATCAATTACATATAGAAATTGCAAAGTGATCAAAACGTCCCCCCCCTGCCACCTGCTGGTCTCCGTACAAACACAGTCAAGGTTGTGTGTTTCATTGTTTTTTTGATATGCACCTTTTTCTTTGACTATGTTTTTATTTTCCACAGTTTTTGATTGTGTCTGAGCCATATGTCCATGTGCATGACTTTGAGTCCACAGCTTTGTTCCTGAGTGCTGTATTTCACTGTCCACAGAAACAACAAAGGCAGAGACATCAAGACTATCAAGTCTCTCCGAGTGTTGAGAGTTCTGCGACCTCTTAAAACCATCAAGAGGCTTCCTAAACTCAAGGTACGATGTTAACATCTGCAGGAAATCTCTACTATTTTATTCTTGGTGTTATTTGACAGATCTCTGAAAGATTGATATTGCTTTGCCCTTCCTCTTTTCTTTCTTCTCCACAGGCTGTTTTCGACTGTGTGGTCACATCTCTGAAGAACGTCTTCAACATCCTCATCGTGTATCAGCTCTTCATGTTCATCTTCGCCGTGATCGCCGTGCAGCTCTTCAAGGGGAAGTTCTTCTACTGCAACGACAGCTCCATGAATTCAGAGAAGGAATGCCAGTAAGTGCAAATATCCAAACTACTGGTGGTAGAAGGAAGCAAACCTTTTAACCAAAAGAAATGATACCACAAAGTTGAAATTATATAAATAATAACGTCCTGTTCAAACTTTTGCTGTGAAAGTACATAATTATTAACATCATGCATTAACACTTTAATGTTGCAGCTGGAAATACTATATATACTGCACTATATAGCACTTTATATACAAAAAAAACACTTAAATAAAATAAACTATAAGTAAAGTTACAAAGGAAAGGTAACTCCCTAACAACCCAAAGAGCAGAAGTATCACCCTGTAAGAATTCAAGGTAACGATGATAAAGAAATATAATTTTGGTGGTAAACTATTTCTTCTATTTCTACCACTACAACATTTCCGTCATTTTAGGGCAATAAAGAAACCCTCCACAAATGTCTCACAACACAGAGGCTCATTATTTATATACTGTGCCCCCCACATTCAACAGCTAAAAGTATTTTCACAAAACAAAAGCTTAAATATCTTTCTCTTCGTCCAACATGCTGGTTCAGTAAGTGGATTAAATGAAGCAATGACCTCTGACCGCTCTTCTCCCTACAGAGGCTACTACATCGACTACAGCCGAGACAAAAAGGAGATGAAGAGAAGAGAGTGGAAGAGACACGAGTTTCACTACGACAACGTCTGCTGGGCCCTCCTCACACTCTTCACTGTCTCAACTGGAGAGGGATGGCCTCAGTAAGTGGACTTTTCATTGGTACCTCAGTCATTCTGGCTGTAAAAGCCTAAAACAGATAGATTACCTCTCTTTCCTCCCATCTTTTTCTCCCTGCTAGGATCCTGCAGCACTCCACCGATGTGACAGAGGATAGCATGGGGCCGAGTCGGGGGAACCGCATGGAGATGTCTGTTTTCTACGTGGTTTACTTTGTGGTCTTCCCGTTCTTCTTCGTCAACATCTTTGTGGCTCTGATCATCATCACCTTCCAGGAGCAAGGGGATAAGATGATTCAGGAGTGCAGTCTGGAGAAGAACGAGGTGTGCCACAGTGAAACACATACATACCCACATGGTTACATTCACACGTTTTCATTCATGTCTGTTTTGTTCATTTTCTGTCCATCAGAGGGCTTGCATAGACTTTGCCATCAGCGCCAAGCCGATGACCCGCTACATGCCGCAGAACAGACAAACCTTCCAGTACAGACTGTGGCACTTTGTCGCGTCGCCCTCCTTCGAGTACACCGTGCTCGTCATGATCGCGCTCAACACTGTGGTGCTCATGATGAAGGTAAAGCAGTACAGCAGGATTAATACTGGGAAATGATATAGTTAAAATGACTTTGTGTTCATCATATTTGCATATTAAAGTGCTCAAAACTGTGAGTTAGAGATAAGAAAACCAATCAACATTTACTCACAGTTCCATTCTTGCTGTATACAAATTGAAAAGCTAGAGGTGTGAAGACTTCAACACTTACTTCATAATAAAAGTCAACTTTACTTTTAAGTGGAACTGCAACAATAGGAACTGTTCAGTTTTCAAAAAAACAAGAATTTATTACAGCTTTGTTCATTTTGTAATGATAAATAGTGACTTTAAAGACATTTATTTTAAATATATATTTTGTTGTACTTGCTGATCCACATGAAAATACTTAAACATTGATGAAAACATGAACCCGTGCCCTTCTCTTTCAGCACCACTCGGCCCCGACAGCCTACGACATGGTCCTAAAGCACCTCAACACGGCCTTCACTGTCCTCTTCTCTTTGGAGTGTATGCTCAAGATCATGGCATTTGGTTTGGTGGTGAGAATGAACACAACAAGAGATGAATCAAAGACAGGAGCAGATCACCTCTATCTATCTAGCTCCACTGATAAAGACTCAAGAAAAAAAACACAAGATTTTAGATCAAAGTAAAGGTGGGAGTGGGACAACACATGTTGTGTGTGATTGGACAAAAGTCCCTTCTTTGTAACATATTTGTATTGAGTTTTTTTTCTGCAACTATTGTTGTCAAAAGGACAACAATAAGAAAATAAAAAAAACATTATGGAATCAATACATACAAGAAAGGTGTGAAGTATGTAATGAAAAAAAATACAATCAAACATAATAATAATAATACCCAAGTCCCTTTTGACAATCATTTGCTGGGACAAAGTTTTTTCTCTCCAAAATGTGTATCCTGAAATACTGTCTAATTTTCCGGGCTGCTATGATTTCTTTTTCTGCAGAACTACTTTCGAGATACTTGGAATATTTTTGATTTCATCACTGTTCTTGGCAGCATCAGTGAGATAATTGTGGATTTACAGGTAAGATACTGCCAAGACACTATTTAATTTTCACAATGTTCTGACCCGAATGAAAAGGCACAAATATCCAGCATTTGATTTAGCATTCTCTCTTTCCAAGTATCCCTCATGTGTTACGATCCCTGCCTCCAGACACAACTTAAGTCATGTTGTGATGAATTTTGCCATCTGTGTTTCACATCCTGTCTCTCCCTTCTTTCTGCCACTCTCTCCCTCTCTCTTGTGTCACCCTCTCTACGTCAGTCGTTGAACACCATCAACATGAGTTTCTTGAAGCTATTCCGAGCAGCCAGGTTGATCAAGCTGCTGAGACAGGGTTACACCATCCGCATTCTGCTGTGGACCTTCGTACAGTCTTTCAAGGTCGGACTCTTTACAATCTTTTTTTTTTATCACGTTGATTCCTCACCGACAGTAATGTTTTCAAGGCAACATCACTATTATTTGAGACAAGTTTGAATAAATGGTCATTTTTTTGTTATTCCCCAACAGGCTCTTCCTTATGTCTGCCTTCTCATTGCGATGCTTTTCTTCATATACGCCATCATTGGAATGCAGGTATTCTTCACTAATACTTTCAGAAACAACACACGTATAATTAAACGAAAAACATATATATAAGGCTCTCAGTTGAGCACATAGTTATGTACAGGGCTTCAAGTACAATTCTAGGAAACAAATGCAGACTATATGACTGAATTTGCATATCATTCTTTCTTTATCATGTTATATTGAATTGTAGCTGTATTGTTGGAATTTCTGTAAGCTTGTTGGATGCATTCTTTATTTGATGATCTTTATATTATATGAAATCATTTGAACCACTTATTTAAATAATTGATTACTTTGTTGATTTGGTACATTTGTTTATTTACGGACCCCAGGGAATATTACAACTGTTATGGCAGAAGCTTTTTGTGTATTCAATTGTAGTGCATTGTACCGTAGTGCTTGCTGAATCATTGTTAAAATATTCGGCCAATCATTCCCAAAAACCTGACTAAAATTCTGGCACATCACATTCTGCTTGAAACTGGAATTTGATTAATGTGCCCTGTACAAAATACAAAAACAATGTTGATCCAATCAAATAACAGAAGCTGTTTTCTGCAGGTGTTTGGAAACATCAAGCTGAACGATGAGAGTCACATCAATCAACACAACAATTTTAAGACCTTTTTCGGTGCGCTGATGCTGCTTTTCAGGTAGGATTTTCAAGAAGAACCTTTCAAGCCTCAATGCCTTTCATTTCAACCGTCCTTAATGTGTTTAATTTCTAAAAAAAATGGCTTTTAATTTGATGTCAACTCTGTGTTTGTTTGTGTTTTAACCACCAGGAGTGCCACGGGGGAGTCCTGGCAGGAGATCATGCTTTCGTGTCTGTCGGGTCGGGAGTGTGAGCCGGACTCCTCCATCCCCCCCCTCATGACGTCTCCGGACCACGTGGGGGGGTGTGGGACGGACTTCGCGTACTGCTACTTCGTCTCATTCATCTTCTTCAGCTCATTTCTGGTCAGGGCTCCACTAAAGAAACACCCGGCTAATGTATTTGTCGATTTCTCCGCTGTCTTTACACTTTCTTTATGTCCCTTTTTTAAAAGATGCTGAATCTGTTTGTGGCTGTGATCATGGATAACTTTGAGTACCTGACGCGAGACTCCTCTATCCTGGGTCCACATCACCTCGATGAGTTTGTTCGCATCTGGGGGGAGTACGATCGCCTGGCGTGGTGAGACTCGATCTTATAGCTGCTGCATTTCATTTCAATCTTTATTTCGAACAGATTAAAAAAAAAAAAAAAAATGTGAAAAACAGAATACCGTATTGTTAAAATACAGTATTTATCCACATTCACGATAATATTTATATATTCAACAAAAAAAGTCTTCATATTAATAATAATAATAATAATCATTTAAAAAAAATCATATGTGTCCGAAAGGGAGTAGGAGGAAGCAAATGCTTATTAATTCCCACCCCTTACTTGATCAATGATTGTCCTTTAAGTCATTATGCAAGTTATTCCTCCTTACATTTACATTTATACATACATATACAATAATTTCTCATCTTCAATCACCTCTCTTCATTCTCATAGTTTTCCAAAAAAGTGTTTCTGTACATCCTTTTAAACTGAATTATCCTTGTGCTTTGTTTTAACTCCTGCTCCAAACCATTCCATAAAATCACCCCACAGATTGTTATACTCATACTTCTCAGAGTTGTTCTGACCTTGAGTTGTTTCAAATGTAGATTTCCTCTCAAATGATACCCACCCCACCCGCATGTTCACTTCATCAGCATTCATGTTCTATCTTCATCCAGCAGAGGGCTGTCAAAGTGTTTGAAACACATTCTTCACTGCAATGAGTTGTCAGTACAAGTTGATCTGATTCAAGTCTGAAAGAGCAATTTCACTGTGCTGAAAAAATAACAAAATGTTCTTCAAATGTCACAAAAACTCGCTGTACCCTGTAATAAATCTGAGTGTTGTGCTACTTGTTATTAACCCCTCCACCTTGTGCTTCTGTTTCTCCGTGCCCCCCCCCCTCACTTATCACTATGAAGCGGTCGTATCCACTACACTGCCATGTATGAGACGTTAATACACATGTCACCGCCCCTGGGCCTGGGAAAGAAATGTCCTGCTAAGATCGCCTACAAGGTACTGAAAGGGCTAGATTAAATGAGAACTCAAGTAAAAACTGTTAAGTCATGGGTAATAACATTGGAGATTTAGTATCATTCAAATCTTTAAATGATTGTTTTAAAAAACAACAACAGATAATTGCCGGATTAACAGAAGTTGTTCAGCTGATACAACTATTTCAAATGTTGTAAAACTATTATAACATTAAGGGAAATGTGAAAAGATTACATTTTCATGGTATTTTAAGCTGAAACACTAAAGTACTTAAATAAATAATTGAATTAATGAATCTCCTTCTGTCCTCTTCTCTCCGTCCCTCATTGCCTGTCAGAGGTTGGTGTTGATGAACATGCCTGTGGACGAGGACATGAGCGTCCACTTCACCTCCACCCTGATGTCGCTCATCCGCACAGCTTTGGACATCAAAATAGCGAGAGGTCAGAGGCACTGACTGACATGTCCTTTCTGTGATACGGCATATAGGCGTCCAACTACGCATTGTTTGGATTTTTCTTTATTTGTGGATTATGTTTTTGATAATAGATACGTTATTGGCCTTAAAAGATAACCATAAATAGTTCAAATGTTCAAAATGATTTCAACAATCCAAAACTAAAAAGTATTACTTTTTGATTATTTAAAAGTGATGGTCGAGTTGTATGTTTATTATTACAAGCCAATCCTTACAAGTGAGAAAGGTATGAGTTAGTTAGTTAACAGCTTGTTATTTGTATCTGATATTTGATAGTAATGAGTAGTTAGTTGGTTAATAATTAGTAAAGTTACATTCAGTTAGTTAGTGGTAGTTTATAAGTTATTAATTAGTTATTTAACCGCGAGTAAGAATTGGATGATTTTCATATGTGATGTTTGGTTTCATACATAAAATTAACTATTTTATATGTGAAGAATTGCATTCCACATGTGATTATTCATGAGTGCAACTGAATATGGATCTTTGTCCCAGGCGGTGAGGACCGCATCGCTCTGGACAGTGAACTGCAGAAAGAGGTCAGCATCATTTGGCCTTATCTACCGCAGAAGAACCTGGACCTTCTGGTACCGATCAACAAAGGTCTGGCTCTCACTGTGGAGGGAACACTGAATGTGATGCTGCGAGCCCAGCAGTAACAGTTAATGTAGCGTGTCTGCCCTCACAGATACGGACATGACGGTGGGGAAGATCTATGCCTCCATGATGATAATGGACTACTTCAAACTGAACAAAGCCAAGAAGCTCAGGCAGCAACTCGAGGCTCAGGTCTGCTCTGTATGCGGTTTTCCACTTCCTGCTCTGTTTTAGTTATATATGTTCCAAGAAAATAGATAACTTAATACATGTTCAAAGAGAGAGGAGAAAATCTAAAAACGTTACCTGATATTTCACATGATCTGTTATAATGTCCTTTTTATGTACTACTTTCCAGTAAGATGGCACATATGTTATCCATAATGTAATCAATTACATAGACAAACAAAAAAACCTAGCAACAATAAGCTTTGTAGCCTTTCATTTAAGGATCAACACATAGAAATTAAAATGAAAAATGCATTGGAAACAAAGGATCCATTGTTCACTTTTCTAGCAGTGGCCATAAACATAACGTGCAATATTACTCTTTACAAGTTTTTCAATATCTTTACCAATATCCATTCAATATAATGCAAATACATTAAATAGGTGTATGGTTACCGTTTTTTATGACATGTGTCTTCTTGTAATTCTATCTTACTTTGGTGTAAGTGTTCATTTGTACACTTTTAAACCTATTTCAGTATTTTTTATTGACGTATTTTAAAATTTTTATTTCTCACCAAACAGATCTACAGTATGTGCATAGAGGTAGACATGGAAATATGCAGTATTGTCTTTGGAGGGCAGAGTACTCAATCCTCTTTGACCTTCTTAAATGTGGGCCTGAACAATGTAAACAGAAAATGCAAAGGAGCCCTCTGTGGTAACTTTATAAACTACATTTTATTTTAAATGTTGTGTTTCTGTTTCCTCATTTTAGAAGAGTAGCCTAATCTTCAAGCGCCTGGATGCCTCCACGCTTCCTGAAGACATTCTGTCCAACACCCAGACGCTGCCGACAATGGCCCACAGCGCTGGCTCCGCTCTGTGAGTCCAAGCATTTTTGCCTTTTGTGTTATATTTTTACTTTGTTAGTATTTCTGTGTTTTTGTTTACTGTTTCTCTCCGTAACAAAACAGGACCAGAGGAGGATTGCTGGCTCTGAGCCCCATCTCACCTGAGGAGCTGTTTCTGCAGCCCATCGGCTCTGACACTGATGTTAACCAGGATCTGGTGAGGAAACAGAACAACATGAGAGTACAGCACAACCACGTGGTTCCTAACCTTTTATACCTGTGATCCATTAAAACAAAGCCTTGTGTACATGTCACAGGTTGCCTAAGTGTAGGGTTGTGCGAAAAAACGTATCATCCTAAACAGCCCTATTACGATAGCTGAGCTTTGTTTAGCCTCCCAGTGCAACAGGGCTCTGTTTGCATTGATTATTTTAAAGTGAAATGCTTACGGAGAAAAGAACATTTTAGCTTTTTTAAGCAGCTGGTGGTGAGTTATTGTTCTGACTGTGGTATGCTGTGTTTTAATCATGTTGCTCAACTTGTTGTGACTCTCTCTGCGTGCCTTGCAGAGCACGGTATGCTGCTCATGTCTTTTAGTCCTGGAGAGGTTGGATTAGTAAAGGCAGATTGTCCAACCTGTTGCTGTTTGCTGTGTCTATGCTGTCTGGTTTTACTGGCCTGCTAGATGAATGATATGAAATGGTTTGGAAATACGCACATGTTAGTGTTTGTTCTTGCAGAGGAATGTGTTTTCCCTCTTGAGACAGATGTTGTCTGGCTTTGTTTGTGTAGCTATGAAGACCTGAACATGCATGACTGAATGTACTTCCCAACTGGAATATGGCCTCCATCTTTCCTTGTCAATTGTTTTGTTGATCGTCTTTTCTCGCTCGTCTTCTCCACTGTTCCTCCTTGAAGTCACTTTTCCTGTTGCTAGTTGTTAATCTGTCCGTTTTTGGCTGGAATGGCTTTTGATTGGATGGCAATAAGATAGATGACCCTCAGTGATGAAATGGCTTGTCTGCCCCCCTCTCCCCTGAACTAGACCTCCGTATTTAGAGGCGATCCTAGCAGGGACGGGCCTCATTGGTGTCTCTCCTTGCCCTCCTCTCTTGTTTCTATACTCACGTAGGTGGGCGAGTGCAGTAGGGGGATTGAAGCCCCACAGGAGCTTCCCATAGGGAGGGGTCTGTGTGTGCGGGCCTCTTCCATGCCCCGTCTGGCTGTAGAGTTGCAGGTACAAACATCTTCCATGACATGGCCTCGCTGCTGGGTCTTGAGGACGTCAGTGGCTGCATGGGCTCTGATGCCAAAGTGTTCTGTTCTTTATTATGCCAAGAGTTATTAAACCACTAGAGTCTGGGCTTGTCTTTTGCTACTTCTGGAGTCTGATAACGGTTCAAAGAATTGTTAAGAACTGGGTTTGATCTTTACCATTAGCTTGCTCATCTCCTGAATTGAGAAAAAGGAACCTTCTAGTTTATTTGTATGCACTGTTTTTATGCACTGATTCAAGCATGTTTTTTTTATGCAATGGTCCGCTTGTTTGTGTATTAAATAATCTGAATGTTATTAAAGCATGTTTCTTTTTGCTTGTTTTTACATACAAACAGACGGAGGTTGCAGGTGGCTCCATGAAGCGTTCAGTCTCCACTGTTGCCGATCAGCGGGTGAACGGTCTTTGGGAGGAAGAGCAAAGTCCTGCCAGACTTTATCGACCTCGACACAAGAGCTACAAAGCTGCTGGTCAGTCCTGAACACCTGTATGCATGAAGTGTCTTTTCTCCCACCGTTTGCAATCATGAAGTACTGGTGAAAACATGCAGGAGAGATCCAATGCAGAACCAATATCAACCACTTTAACCGGCTCTGTTTGTATTGTAGTTTCTCGGTCAGAGCACTGGCATCAGGGCGACAGGGAGCGCGGCCGGTCTAAGGAGCGCTGTCACCTCCTGTCTGATGCGTCTCGTGGAAACTCTGAGGAAAGAAGATTGCAGGCCTCACGGTCCTCTAGTGGAGAGAGAGCCCACCCCAAAGATAAACAGGTGAGTCAGAACTAACTGAGTCAGGGGCTAAAGTGAGTCAAATGAAAAAGTAATTACTAAATTGCACCAATTCATCAGTTACAGAAATTAAATGTTAAACAAATGTTGTGTTTAAAAAACAAGTGAGCAAATATAAGGCAAAACAATAATAACTATTGAAAGATGGATAGGAAAAATCACACACAAAATTGGTGTGTTTGGTGTAGCATTTGAGGAAATGTAAAGCTTGGATTAAGTAATGTCCAGAAAGGGACGCATCATTTCAAACAAATGAAGTAGAACCTGAGTTTTAATAACTTTCTTTCAAAGTAATTAATGACATCTCTTTACCATAAAGTGTCAAATGTAACTTCTTTTTCAGTTTAGGAGAATTGGCCTGTGTGCTAACAAAATTATAAATGTTGCAATCTTGTAATTACCTCCTTTTAACCTCTATCCTCCTGAGATGAAATATATAACGATCAAACAGCCCTTTACATTTTGACATGTTTAAGTCATCAAATGTCCCGCACATTTACCTTAAAGACATTGTTTTTTTTTTCCATTTTGTCTTTATTCTCCTCTCCAGGGCAACAGCTCGGACAGTCCGGTGCCCTCCACCTCAGAGTCCAGCACCCCCACCGGCCGACGCCCCGCAGCAAAGAGCTCTCGCCCGCACATCTCCTACTCCCCGCTGCACCCCTCTGTCGGGAAGGACGGGGATGAGCAGCGCAGCCCAGTGGCCAAGAGGCGGGGCAAAGCCAAACGGGGCACCCAAGAGAGGGTCCTAGACGACAGGCGAGGCGAAGAAGAACAAGACCCGTCCCCACTTCGCCGCTACCCCTCGGAGCCGTTCCTGGCCTCCCAGGAGGGCGAGCACAGCCCGGACCCCTCCGGCCCCATGGAGACGTTGACCTTCGAGGCGGCCATGGCCTGCAGCCTGGGACGCTCAAACACCGTCAGCTCGTCCCGTCCCCGCTTGCGGACCGGCTGGCAGGTCCCCAACGGACACTTTCGAAAGCGTTTGGCGCAAACAACCTCTTCTGCAGGCTGTGACCCTCTCAGCGACACGGAGGAGGACGACAGGTGCTAGGGACGGGAGGCTCAGCATGAGGGAGGAGGGGGAGACGGGAGACTGTACGACAGAGAGAAGGTTAAAGTGACTCTTTTTGCAACAGAGCCTCAAGGCCGTGAACCCAAAACGAAAAGAACAATACTTCCTGAAACTGTAGTTTCCAATTCACACAGAACACTGACAATAAATAAGGTATAATTCCTGACTTGTACTTGATGATAGAGAGTAATAATACATCTGAAAATGATGCAGAAAAAAAATGAATGGATCAAATTAAATCATTTGTGTTGATAGGTATTTTCATTTCTGAAGATGTTTCTAAATGATTCAGTGTTGCTCTTAAGAGTATTTAACTGTGGGGTGTGTGAATATGTAACTACATTTTCTTATAAATAATCCTTTTGTAAATACATTGTGATCATTAAGCCATTGCCATTTATAAGATGAGTTCAATACAACAAGCCATGACCAAGAGACGATCTGATATTTTACCAGACAATGTGGATACTAATAAGTAACACTCAATAATGCTGGATTTTTTTACAGTATGAATGAATGTGCATTGGGAAAAACTGCCTGATTCCCCTCGTCATTTTACTTTTTGGTATTGAATAAGTTGTGAGATATGAATACAGTTATACAATAAAATAGAAAAGATGCTTATTTGTAATTTTACCCTGTGTTTATGTTAAACCATGCCTCTGACAAAACTCAAACCTTTAAAATGAACCTTCAAAACTGTTTTTTGGTATTTTAACAGGTTTACTCCCTTTAAATGAGACTTCCCCTACATTTATGTATTTAATACTTTTGGGGTATCTGGGTATATTTACCATGAACTGATATGAAAACAAAATGATCATTCATCTTTTCTCACCTTTTTCTTCCTTGTGAATATTGTATGAACCATTGCAGACGATGACTGTAGAAACACCGTAGACAGACCATGCCACATTTGCTTCACAAAATAACTTTATGCTCTTACTTATTAATAATGTACAGAGAAAATATGCTGTTTGTAACATTAAGAGAAGAAACAATAAACTATCAGTTGATGAGCTTTTAAGGTAAAGGAATCTTTGGAAATGTTCACTAAGGTTTGTGTTTTTGTTTCGTTTGCCTGAAAAAGGCAAACAATCTGTGAAACTCCTGTAACCAAAAACATGGGCAATTGTATTATAAGTTCCTGGAATGCAAATACTTTGTGGGTGTTTATGTGTACAATAGTTGTATATACAAATAAAGGTGTCCACTGTTATTGGATGTAATTCATTATTCATATTCTTCTTTTAAAAACCTTGAAATGGTCTCTCGTTGGTTAAAATACACACATAGGTTTAGAAAAATGCTCAATTTTGGTTCATATTTCTTGGCTGTGATACAATAAAGTACTAGCAAAATAACTTTACACAACAATGGATTACGACTGGTTTCATAACATTAATTAAGAATAAATATGCTTTTTTGTAAGATACAAAATTATACAAATGTAAATAGAGAAAAATAAATAAATGATGGGGTGTGGGGTAGGGAGAACTCCCAGGAGCTAATTCAAAACCATAGCTCTCGCAAACATCTGATACCTCATGGAAATCACGAGGCTGCGTGGACAGTATGATGGCACTGGAGCCATACGCCGGTTTGGTAGTAGTAGCCATGTTAAAAGCAGGTCGACTTAATAATCATAAGCACTAATATTGTCCACCGCCTTGTCCCTTGCAGGCAGTGTTTTACCAGACTACACGCCCCCTAATTGGAAATCAGCCTTGTATCTAGCTTTGTGAAGCACCTTGAGATGACGTTGTCTTTAAAGTGTGCTATATAAATCAAATGTATTATTATTATTATTATATTATTATCTCTATTTTAACAGCACCTTACTGTATCACAGAAAATAGATTTTCCATAAAGAATATTTCCCAAAATCAAGCTTATTCATTAATTACCAAGCTGTAGTAATTATTTTCGAAACCAATTTTTTGCAAAAGCATTAAAAAATATATATATATTATTAATGTAGTGTAACGTCCGAGGTGTTAAGGATGTAAGCATTGGGTTGAGAGGTCATGTGTTGTGAGCATGACCTCTCAACCCAATGCTTACAGTAGTTTCATAACCAGTCGGGAAGTTAGATGTGTGAAGAAAAAGAATAGGTTCAACTGTGAATTAAGCAAAAACATTACATTGGTTTCACATTTATCCGTGTTCAGCAAAAAAAAAAAACACCTTACGGTTTTATTTGTATTTTTTATGAACGTAAAACAAATACATGAGATGGATTTTTATAATTAAAAGGGGCGGGACTTGGCTCCTTCGTATATCGACGTCAAATAAATCATCCAATCACTGCACAGAATCACACCCTTACGTCATATCCAACGGACTGATACATGTCCTCGGCTGAAGAAAGAGCTAGCAAGGAAGCAAACTGTTTAATGTTTCTCACGAAATTAAAAGTCGGAAATGTCGCTACAGTCCAACACTCATGCCGCTTAGCGTTACATCCGTATCTACTGTTGAAGTAGATATTTTATAGAAAACGTTATTCTTACAAGGCTATGAGCGATACTTGTCGAGGAAGTCGTCCAGCTGGCTAGCTAAAAAGTAGCTAGCTGTCGTTCTTTGTTTTGTTTTTTAGTTGAAGGTCCGTATAAACATGAAGATTAACTAGTTCGCTTTAACATTTAAGGTTCATATAGGAGGTTTATACTCATGTACGTAGTATATTTTCCAGTGTTTAGTTGACCTGGAATTAAATGTTTTCTGGAATATTAGACAAAACTACTATTAGCCACCGAGAGCAACTTTAGCAACACAGATCTGATTTTTAACGTCGGGACGGGACTGGAGACACGAAGATATGGGCAACTGTCTCAAGTCTCCGACATCAGACGACATTTCTCTGCTTCATGAATCCCAGTCGGACAGGGCGAGCTTCGGCGAAGGGACAGACCCGGACCTGGAGCCACCTCCGCCGTACCAGGTGAACCACTGCTAACACTTTACAGGGTATCAAGTTAACAACATGAAAGTTCGGGGGACACTTAAAACAAATAGATTCAAGAATAATGTTATTAGTTAGTAATTAGCCTACATGTTTGTATGCAGCAGTACATGTTTGTGAAAATAGTCCCTTGGCCCGTGTTTCAGGTCTCTGGCCTTTTTTCTACCTGGAATCCATTATAGTCGGTAAACACCTGAGTAAACAAACACTTATCATCATATCGACCTGTCAAGAATGTCAACATTAGACAGCTGCTTTACTTGGCAGTGTATCCCTGCACATAGCCTCACATATCAGCGCTGCATGCATACAGTGAGCTGATGCAGGAGGGTGGGTTGATTTTTTGTAATTGTTGTGGTTTCTTTTGTCTTTACCAGGAGCAGGCTCACATGCCCATGTACCACCCCACGCCCAGCCAGGCCCGTCTGGCCACCCAGCTGACGGAGGAGGAGCAGATCCGCATCGCTCAGCGCATCGGCCTCATCCAGCACCTCCCTAAGGGGGTCTATGACGGGGGGCAGGACGGCTCGGAGAAAAAGATTAGAGAGTGAGCATTTTGTATTTTTGTGACGTTTGCATAGAGGGGTGGTTGCAGGCTATTAGAGCGGAGACTAAAGCAATGAAGTTGTATAATTTATATCTAAGCAAATCTCAAGCACATTAGTGATTTGGGACTGGCTGGTTAATTTCATTTTTGTTTTTCAGTTTCATTATATTTTACAGTTCAGTAAATAACATTTTTTCCTAAGTCAATGAGCAATCGAGGTTAACAACTGAACTTAATATTGACAAAATAATCACGCTTGTGATTGCTGCCATTATAGAACAGCTCAATGAATACATTTATCTTAACATGACATTTAACACTTTCTTCTCGGTGTAAGGAATAACTGTTTTCTCTTCTGTTATATATCCTTAAATGGTATCGATAATATTTGTCCTTTTTATATAGGATATACAAATATTGCAATGCATGCTAAAAGACGGCAGTTAAGGTATATACAGATATAACTTTAATCTAATCATTTGTAATCTGTGGTCACAATATCAGCTTTACACTGGTGTGTATTAAAGCTCTTTTATTTCATGTGTTTTTTTCAGATGCGTAATCTGTATGCTGGACTTTGTATACGGGGACCCCATCCGGTTCCTGCCGTGCATGCACATCTACCACATGGACTGTATAGACGACTGGCTGATGAGGTCCTTCACCTGCCCCTCCTGCATGGAGCCTGTGGATGCTGCCCTGCTCTCCACCTATGAGACCGCCTGATTTTTTTCTTCACGCTTCCAGTCCCAAACTAAGATCAAACACGACCCCTTCAGCCCCAAATACACACACACACTCGTAAACCCAGCAACTGCCCTTTTATAGAGTGAGACGAGCTATAAAAAAATGTCTTGGCTGTTTTCTTGCACTTTGAAATATTCAAAAATTACTCACCTAATGTTGGCCTTCCATGCCCCTAGGTCTACAAAATAAGCTGGTCTTAAACATCAGTTACACAAGTGTGTGTTTGTGTGTGTCTGACAGTAAGCACCTTGGGTGTGTGTGTGTCAGCTGTTTGATGACTTTGCATTTCCACTTGAGCCGGTCTCAGTGGTATCTCCCCGTATGTTCCCAGTTCACCTTCATTCTCCGTGAGTAGACATTCAAATCGATATTTTACATTAACAGATTTTTTTAACAACATGCTAAAAAATTGTTGCTAGAAATCTGTTTGGGAAAAAGTTAGGTTTTTCATGGCAACAGTAAGACTTCCTCAACATATTGATCGTTCTCCTGAACATGCTCTCACATTAAAATGGCCCTTTGGAGGTAAGGGAATACATGGCTGAAGTTTACACTGTTGGTGTTAGATATCAAAAGAAATCACTCTCCAGTTTGTCAGGAGTACAAAAGAATTATGCACACCCTTAATAGAAATCACCCAAAGTTTATAAGTACACAATGATCACCTACAGGAGATCTGCGCTAAATGTATTTTGGCTACTCCAAGTGGCTGAACCTTAAAGATGTTTAAGGGAAAATGTTGTTGTGTAATGTGAATGTTTCCCCAGGTGGTGTGTAAAGAAGCTGGCAGCCAATGTAAAGGGCTCATTTGTGCATGGGCAGGTGGATCAGTCAGTCAAAAATTGGAAATGCTTGCACACACTTTTCATCTGATCCAGAGATTTGCACTTTACTTATAGGACAGTATCTAAACAATATATTAATATATGTACCTTATAACCTTGCACTATCGATACTTCATTCCTTTGTTTCCTGAGATGCAAAAGTTATATAACTGAAAAGGTTTTCAAAGCTGTCAGTAGTCACTTATCACATTGAAGTAAACCTGAAAATGTATTTCATGAAATCTGTGATTTGGTAGTGTGAGCCTCCGCTTTGTTCTGCTTGACTTTTGATTTGTGTGTGTTTTTGTGTCTAAGTGAAGGGACAGAGGCTTTCTCCAGTTTAAAGGACAAGTTCGACATTTGGGGAAATATGCACATCCACTTAGATATCAAGAGTTAAATGAGTAGGTCATTCTGTGTATTAAGTAATCAGCTGGTGCCAGGAGGGGATTAGTCTAGCATAAAGACTGTAAGCAGTGTGAAACTGCAGGCATGGTCAAAAACACACCTAGCAGCACCTCCGAAACTCAGTCCTTTGTGGTTTTGGGAGGAGTTAAGTGTCGATTGACAACTATTAAAAGCATTCAACTCTAACTATTTAACTACAGATTTAAGAAACATGAGCTAACATGTTGATTAACTATTTAACTGCTGGTAAGCTAACTCTTTAACTTTGGACAGAAGTGGTTTCCCACCTCTTCCAGTCTTTATGCTAAGCTAAGCTAAATGCCTCCCCAGTCTAGATTCATACTAGGTTTACAGACATGAGGTATCTGTGTGCTCATCTCCTGGCAACAGATCGGTTAAGCATATTTCCCAACATGTCGTACTGTTTCTTTAAGAAAGAAAATTGGCTTGATTGGGTTCTTTATGAGTAAACGTTAGCACAGTCATTTAACATCATTTTTTTTTTACATGGTTATCTCCATTTACTGTAACAGTAGTAACAATCATTTATTTTTGGTTTGTGGCATTGTTTGTTGAAAGTGTGGCTGTCTTTTTTTATGTTACCTGTGTTTTATCTTTTTGTTATGTTTGTGTAAAATCCACTTTGCATTTAGGTTAGTAAGTATTTCACTTTTACACTGGTGTAAGCCTGACTGCGAGCCTCTGTCCCAAATGAATTTCAGTGTGTGAGACACTTCTTTTAAGGTGTGATAGTTGCAACTGATGTATCAAGTTTTCCATTTAGCTTTTCCTTTGCTGTGTTTTTCATTTTAAGTTTATTCTGAGAATTAATATTTCCTGTAATCCTGTTTTTCTTTTCTTTTGGAAGGCCATCATGTGAAAAAAATAAAGAGAAAAAATATGTGTTGGTGTTTTTTTATTACGAACATGCAGCCAGGCAAAGTGGACTTAATGCAAATGGCCAGGTTGTACCAACATGAGAGATTGCAAAATATTACTTTGAGCCCTTCATTAATGTAATCCTAAAATCTGGCAGTGAGTTTAAAATGTGTCAGACATAATCAGGGTTAGCTGTTGCCCAAGACATATTAGTAATGTTTGATGCTTTGTTTCCAGAGCTTGCATCAGCTTCGGGGGCGACATAATTAACACTAGAGTGGAATTGTAATTAGAAAAACTGAAGAGAAACCCTACTGAAACTCCACACATGATACATTTAATCAAACCTGCTTTGTTGAATAACATGAATCTTGCATACAATAAAACGTGGGTTTGTGAAATTACAACGTATTCATTGTTGTGCACTTAAGATGAACAATGGATTGCAACATGTGCTTTCTTTCTCAAGCCTAAGCAGCACAACACTTAATCAGCTTTGCGTTGCTGCAAGACCTGCGTCAGATTCAGACAACTTTGAGCAACACTATACAGAATTAGAATTCCAGTGTTAATTGATCCATGATATATCAAGAAAATTCTTGCTTGTTCAAAACAACAAGCATCTTTAATGATAATTAAGTTGTTTTAACCTTATATTTCGATGGCGAGTACAAGTTCAGAAGCTCAAGAGTTGGCAGGAATTAAGTATTATATTTAAGTATTAAAACCCTATGATTAAAACCAGTAAATGTCATTTTTTTCAAAGGGCTGAATCTAATTTGAAGCACGGTATTTATTTCTCTATTTACACCGGGCAACCTAGTAAATAGCTGGTACATATATAAAACAACATGTTTTGATCACACCAAATGTATTTCTTCCAACCATTAAATATTCATGTGACACAGCATGTGAACAAATCCATATATGTTTTATTAACCCAATAATGACAATGCAGGTTTATTCTAGTACATCCAGCAACTAGAATTAAAATGTCACTTCACAAACTATTTTTTTAATTTCACAACCCACATCAGCTGCAAATAAACACATGGAAGCGTTAGGCCATTATTTATCCTGTAATACTGGGTGACAGTTGATAACGCTGTAATGGCTGACTGCTGTAGATCAAAGCAGCATTATGGTTTGTACATCCCGTGGAAGGTGACGGGCATGGTGCAGTCCACCTCCGCCCTGGCAATCTCAGACAGATCCTTGGCGTTGAGGATCAGGAGGTACCCTGGTCTCTGGGCACCGGGGGCAACCACGATGCTCAGCAGCACACCTGAGAACACAGCACCACGTTATCATAAAACAATCTCCCTCATAGTGAGTGTAGGATTACATATTTTTACATTGACGTACCATCATCCTCATCCACTCCATCAGGGCTCTGAATAAACAGGGGCTCTGAGGGGTAGGAGTCGGGTTCCTGCCATACCCAGGTCTCCTTGGTCCTCACATTCAACTTGACGATCTACAACAACAACAACAACAACAAAATCAGGTGATGAACTAGCTTGTTTTACAAACTCTAAATGACTTCCAATTGTTGGCATTGTTGACGTACCCTGTCTGGTATGAAGTGGTTGAGACCCAGGGCGTAGGCGTATGAGTAATTCTTCCCTGCGTACTTCCCATAGTTGATCTGAGGGAACTCAAAGGCTACACAAAAACAACATTAAATAGTTAACTAATGAATATTTTTGTGTCCAATGTGAATGATTGGGTACATTTGTTGGATGTGTGTTCACCTTGGCGAGGCCCGGAGAACAGCACCTCCGGCTCCAGCCAGATGGTGCCATCAGCGTGCATGGTGGCTGTGGCAGTGGTGTACGGCAGGCTGACAAGGTTCTTCCCCTGCTCCTCCTACATCAGGTCCGCAATGAGATTACAACAAATCACATGTGTGGACAAGAGTCACTAACTTGAGTCAGACTTAAGTCAGACTCAGGTCACACATTTGATGCCTAATGTTAGTCCAGTCCAAAGATTTAAAGGTGTGTTATTTAAAAAGTGGGCCATAGATCAATTAATTTCTCTTCATTTCCTGGTACATTAATACTATTAATTCCCATGAAGTCTCTCTTTTTATTCCCCAGATAGCTTTGTTTGAACCAATCTGACGGCATTCAATGAAATTGCAGGAGAGAACCATAAAGAACTAAAGTTATGTTACGTTATGTGCCAGTTGGAAAAACGATATCAAAGATAAAAACATAATTTTGCAGTGGTCAACAAAAAACATCATAGCAGTATGAAAAAAACGTGGCCCAAAAATGCTATTACATTTTGTAAAGAGCGCATTATTACTGGTTTAGGTCTCAACGTTTGGGACTTTTGGATTGACTTGGGACTTGAAAGATTTGAAACATACTTGTGACTTGCTAAACATTGACTTGGTCCCACATCCGACAGATAACATGAACATAGATGTTCATCAGAAGAGCTAAAAAAGTGACTCACCTTGTGGATGTCCAGGGGAATAACATATCTGCGGACCTCCGGCTGGGGCGCCATCATGGCCGCCTTCTTCACCTCTTCCCAGTTGGCTCTCAGGTTGGCCAACCAGAGGTAGTTGTAAACAAACTCAAAACTGCACGAATAAAGCAACAATGAACAACATTAGTTATGTATCAAACTAGTCAGGTACAGGAAGGATGAAATAGAAGTCCAACATTTACCCTTTCCATCCACAGACGTCAGTAACAATGAAGCCCTGATCCTCATAGGTGTTGATGTGATGAAACATGTTAATGGCAGCCCCTTTGAACTTGTGGTCAATGTACTCTCCTGGGTTTTTCTTGGCAATGTGAAACAGGGTCTATAAAGCACACATCAACATAGATATCATTAGATTATCGAGGCAGGGGCAGTGATGATATTAACGGTTAAAAAAATAAAATATCGATCTACTGCAAGTTCTTACTCCTTGGCTCTCGTTGGACTCGAAACAGTCCATGTAGTTGGAGCCTCGGATGCTCCAAGCGCTCAGGAATTTCAGCAGGTTGATTTTCACCGGGGTCTCCACAAAGACAATGTAGTTCTCTGACATGCCAAAGCTGAAATTGTTAAGGAGATTAAATCAAAATTTGAACTTGACAAAGAAATGCATAATTGACAGAAATCCTGAGTTTGACGCACCTGTGCACATAGGAGGGCTTGAACCTCTCGGCACTTGGGAACTGCACCACCACCTTGGACTTCGTAATGGGATCAGACTTATCTGAGGACAAAAAAATGCTACTTTGAATCTTTTAAGTTGAGCAAGCTTGCAGGGACTCACCTTGAGGGGTCATACTAATTTTGTTGAACATGAATTGCCAATCAGCAGCCTAAGACAAACTAAGTTTACGTAGAGGTCACTGAAGTTAAATACTGCTGTTATGTTTGAAGATGCCAGCACTGATCCAAACCTTTCTGTGTGGGCGGAGTCATGACAATGTTGTAGGCCAACGTTGCCCCTTTTCCCATGCAGTTTCCAATGTTGTACACTGTGCCATCCTGCTCAATGTGAGGGTGGGCTGTCACTCCGTTAATGTTGACATAGTTGCACATATCAACCTACAGAAAAGATAAATTTCAAAATGCTTAAACATGAAGAGGGGTTTGGAAGTATTTTTACATCTCATATTACAGGATATGTTTCTATTTATATACCTTCTTCAGCGTCTCCAAGGAATCAGTGTCTACTTTAGTGAGGTAGTTGGTTTCTGTTACAGCATAGTAATCCTCACCGATAGGGTAAACATTCACCAGGCAGTTGTCTGTCACCTCAACACCCTTGAAGTAAGAGAAAAACCTGAAGAGAAAACACATTATAAAAGGAATTGGTAAAGGAAATCCTACACAACAAACACTATGGCAAATAAAAGACAAACAAATGTAGCATCAATATGACAGATATGAACACCCAGCTGGTATCCAGGTGATGACTTCCTGTGTGTTATGTGCAACCCACCTGGAGAAAATGTTTTTGCAGGGATCAGGGTAGGCAAAGGTGCCGAACTCAGTGATCACCACACGTTTCTCTGTGATGGCTCTCACATAGGCATCGGTTCTGACAAACCTAAATGGAGAAAAATCAAAACAGCATTTAAAATAAAAAAATATGCTCAAGTTTACGCAGGTTTATTTAGCGACGTGGCATTAATATAAATTAGTTAATTGTCTGAAGTATTTTCCTGAAGCTCTTACTTTCGGAAGTAGGTGACCTGACCGTTCTTGAAGTCAAATTTGTGCATGAGGGCCTGGCCATCAAAGAGGTGGTAGAAAGGTTCATCTCCAACCTCAAACAGCCCAGGTCCCAAACGGAGCAGACTTCCCTTCAGAAATGGAGGAATCCTACCTGTAATACCGGCAAAATGAACACAAATCAGAGATTGGTTTTAAATGTATAGAGATGTAAAAAATGCTTTCTCTACTATTAGAAGAAATAACAACAAGTGCATCAGTATATGAATGACAAATAATAACTTGCCCGCAGTCTATTCCTGTCTTAAAGATTGAAGATACAAACAAACCTGTGACTGTTGCTGGAAGAGGCTCAGCTAGCTCCTCGCATGTCTCAAAAATCTTCTTGTAGCCACCAGCTGGGTGTTCAAATCTGTAATCAAACAGTGAAGGCATCAACCAACATTGCAGAAAGAAACTAAAAGTAATAACATTTCCAACAAATTCAATGTGTGAGAAAGTCATATTTCTAACAGGTCATGCAGTTCAACATGTTAGATCATTACGATTTAATTGGCTGCAGACATTAAAGTCACAAAAAAAAACACTTTTCAACTTAAAGCTGAACTGATAAACACATTATAATAGGATTTAAGATAACATTGCAAGTTGCAATAATTCTTCAGAAACTCACCTGCTGACCATGACTCTCTCTTGTTGTGGCACCACACAAAGCAGAATGTCACTTCTCTACAACTCTGGCCTCCCTGCAGATTTGTGGTATTTATTCGTCTTGTCCCCCTCAGAGTCACTGAAAATCTGTGCTGTAAACCTTCCTACTGGCCAATCATGTTGCACTGTGAACAAGAATCCCTTTGTGCCAATATCCTCTGGGTGGCTCAATGGTCACCCCTCTGAAACCGGATTTATAACAGAGATATTGAGTGCAAAGAAATGTCAAATGTGTTGCAATTGTGCATGTGATTTTTTTCTTCAATTGGTGTGCTTTTAACATATAGCTATGCTGAGTCATACTATTTGCAGTATATTTTAAATAAGGCTTTTGATGCCACCATGGAGGAAGTAAACAGAAGTGAATATGGATGTTAAAGTCAGTTGTTAAGAATGTGTGTAGTACATTTATAGAAAACTTTCATCACATTACATTTATTTAGCTGATTTGATCCAAAGCGACTTACAAGTGTATTGAACCGTGTAACATTCGGATCATGAGTGAATTGGCCAAAAACCAAGTACTACCTCTTTATGTTGAATTCATTTAATGTTTCTAGAAGAGGATTTATTGTAAAACAACAATAACAGTAAACCTCAACAGCTATTATTAGGCCACCTCGTACAATATAAATGGGAAACACGATGCTAATAGGATGCGATATGGCCTTTGTGTTCTTTGGTCAGATCTCAAAATGCCATGACTTGCTTCTCTCAGTCTCAGTTAAATTTTAATCCAGATGTAGGGGTTAAGCCCAGTGTGGCATGAGGACAAACTCTGCATTGTTCCTCCTGGGAAAAAACACCATTAGCAGAAAGAGTTTCACCAGAAGCACATTGCCAGAAGCCGGGGTTGTGATGTTGACCCCATGGCTAATTTCTGAATCTTTCAATGACATCACATGTTCTTTATCAATTAATAAAGGTTGCTCACTATTCAATAAGGTTATTTTTGTGATCTGACAGTTTCAGATCTGCAGATCCATCACAAAGACAAAGATAACAAACATCAACCTCTGTTGAAAACTGTGTGATGGGGTTGAAAGCTCCACAAAGAGTTAGTGAGCAAATAAAAGGTTAATCTAAAATATTCTGTGCTCACAACTTTAGGCATGTGATTTAAAATTGAAAGGCAGATTTTCTTTTCGCAATTCCAGCGCTTGAGTGCAAAGTTCATAATTTGATCTGCAATTTCCAAGGTCAAGATTTAACTGAAAGAAGTGTGAGGCTAAAGTACAGGATTTAAACTAGCTTAAATGTGAGGAATGTGTACATACTGTCCTATGTGTGGCCCTATTTCTACTTTTTGACTATACATTTTCACCTTAAATCATTTATTAGTTAATTTTTGACTTTTTTTATTATGTCGGTTTTGTTTTTATTGTTACTATTACTTTTGTTAAATATTGTATATAGGGCAATATATTCTAATCATGAAGGGTTATTATTTGTATTATGTTTTAAATGCAACAAATATTTACCCAAAAAATAACTAATTTTAGTTAATGTTTAAACAGAAAGATGTATCCTACACAGATATAATAATGAGAATCGATGACATTGTGTCTGGTAAAATATTCACAATATGTACCTACAGAGGTTCTAAGAAAATAAATGATAAATAAAAAATGTAACTAGCAAAAACATAGATCTTTATTTTCCCAACAATACTTAGTGTTCCTATGTGTATGTCATCAGTTAAAGGAAAGGGAGACCTCTGTTGGTTGAGTGAAGATCAAAACATTTCCAAGATAGTACACATACTGTATACTGTTTACTACATAGTTTATTTGTGGCGTGCCTTGGTGTGCAAGACTGATATAAGATTGTTCAGTAAGAGGTAGTTAATTGACAAACCTTATAACCAGTCATCAGAGGTTTAAGGAGTACTCAGATATTTTACTTAAGTAGCAATACTACAGTGTACAAATACTATGTTACAAGTAAAAGTCCTGCAAGTATTGCCATCAAAATATCCTTCAAGTACAAAAAGTAAAAGTAGCCTACTTATTTTCCAGTAGCTATGGCCTATATCATATATTAAAAGGTATCACACTTAGGGTTATTAATGCATCAATGTAAATGTTGCACTTGGTAAAGGTGGGGATTATTTAGATTACTCTACAGTATACTGCTGGGAAGCTTAACCGTCCTATAATAAAACGTAATGATTAATTAATTGATAATTGTATTATAAATCCATACCTTCAAAGTCGCTTGTTACTACATTTTTTAAATAAATATAGTGGAGTAAAAAAATAAAAAAATAAAAGTAAAAGTATAAAGTAGCATAACATGAAAATACTCAAGTGAAGTACAAATACCTCAAAATTGTTCTTAAGTAAAGCACTTGAGTAAATGTACTTCGTTACTTTACACCACGGCCAGTCGTGTTTTTATGAAAGATCAACATTGTTTTTACAGCAAAGGAGTTCAACTATACGCATGCGCAGTGCGTTCTGGAAATACAATATGGCGCCGATATGTTAGTGTGTAGACGTAACTGCTAGCTAACACCTAGCCCGCAAATTCGTATAAACACGCTGTTTTAACAACAGCGATTAACCGTGGCTTTTATTTAAGTTCATTAGACAACTGCAGTGCTGTTGTTCGAACGGTTTTAATCGAAAAACAATGAATTACACTACGAAGGTGGTCCAGGTGACCAATGTGTCGCCAAGCACCACATCGGAGCAGATGAGAACACTGTTCGGTTTCCTGGGAACCATCGAAGAACTGAAGCTGTTTCCTCCAGAGTGAGTTCACTGTCTGCTGCTTTCCTTTATTTATGATGGAGTCACAGATAGGATGCATGGTTTTTAAACTGGTTGGCTTTGTGTGAGCCTGAAACGTAACTAGGCCTAACATGCTAACCGCACACCTAATAACGCTATAGCTACCTAACAACTGATGCTACAGTTATATCCATCATTAATTGACTTGTTGGTTATAGCACTCATGTTCTCCAACGTTTTTCTTTACCATCATGAAGACATTTGATGACATTTTGAAAATGAGATTTGGTTGGTCATACTCAAAGGGGGAAAAAGTACATACCAAAGTGTAGGAATACACTGTTACAAGTAAAGGTCCTGCATTCTAAAATGTTACATGAGTAAAAGTAGCTGCAAAATATACTTAAGTACCAAATCTAAGTACCTATTATTCAAAGTGGCCATTTTTAGCAATAATATATATTGTATCACTGGAGTATAATGTGTGATGCATTCATGTATGATTTGAATTTTGCAGCTGTTAAAGGAGGAGAAAACATATATAACTTTTTATATTGCCAGATATCTCAGTCCATAATAGTAGATTAAAGTGTGTTAGTGGATTTAATCAGAGGTGGAAGAAGTACTCAGATCTTGTACTTCAGTAAAAGTAGAAGTTTTTAATGTGTAGGAATACTCTGTTACAAGTAAAAGTCCTGCAATCAAAATGTTACTCAAGTAGAAGAAGACAAGTATTGGCTTCATACTATATCCAAAGTAACAAAAGTACTCATTCTGCAGAATGGCCCATTCCAGAATCATTTATTATATGTTTTGATTATAATTATTGATGCATTAAAGTGTTCTCAAAGCTGGTAAAGTTGCAGCTAGATTTCATTATCACAATGTTGTTCTTATTGTTTCAGAAATCCGGCCTATAAAGTGTAATCTTAACATAATTTCATAAAATCTTGCGTATAATGCGTGTCCCAGATTCTAATAGAGACCAGTCAGAGAACCAAAAGTTGTAGAAACCCTGATGTGAAAGGACATTTTGTTGTCAAAGGAGAGGACAAAAAAGATGTTGTTTGCAACTTTACTCGTCTAATGTAGTATTTGTGACTTCCTCAACAGTGACTCTCAGATGCCTGTGACATCGCGGGTGTGCTTTGTGAAGTTCGTGGAGCCAGAGTCTGTTGGAGTGTCCCAACACCTGACTAACACCGTGTTTGTGGACAGAGCGTTGATTGTGGTCCCGTTTGCCGAAGGTTTGTCATTTAATTATTTCCACGTACGAGAGGTCCTTGTTGATTGAATGGCATGGAAAGTCAACATTTAAAAGAGTAAAACATTTGTAATCTTTCTAATATGTGAACAATGGTATGTTTTAAATGAGCTTTTTAAAGATAATGATACTGGTAATGCCATTCCCTCCCATTGTCTATAAGAAGTCCTTAAAGCAGACTTCTATTGTCAGATCTTTGGTATACTGTTGTCGCACATCCCATTGCTGTTTTACCACCACAATGCAATTATTTTGATAAACTGGACTTTATTTGGGTAAATGCATATCAAGCGGTATGTCTCTGCCTAAAATAATAATTTGCTCTATATTTCGAAAGCACAGTATACCAAATTCTGCTTCACAGACATTTACAGATGTTGAACATTCCCAAGCTGTGGCGGCCGCAGTGAAGTTGTCTTAACCATATGCATTTTATTTTCTCCCCCATATTGGACTATCCTCTGTTAAACTTCTCTCTGTTATTTGTGTGTGTGTATGTGTGTGTGTGTGATTTTTGTAGTGAAGAAGGCAAAGGCAGCCCCCTCGTGGATGGCTGAAAGTGGTCCTCTGCCTGCCAACAGGGGATTGTAAACATTTGCAAAGGCCAGCAAGCATTCAAGTCCCACCCCGGCCTTTTCGTGTCCTCTTTTCTTTCTCTGCCTTCTCCTTCTCTTTCCTTCTGTCTAATTAACCTTTTCTAGGTGGTTTTGTTTAGAGTGTAAAGGTCAGATATCGGGGACATAGCCTGAAACGGTGCTCATTTTGCATTGTTTTGCAACACTTCTTATGAATGCTGCTAAGCCATTTGAGAGCTAAAGCAATGCTCCTTAACAGATAAGGGTGGCAATATTCCTCAACCTCAATGCCACCAGTTTGCACAGCAGCTGTTAATACTCGATAGCACAACAGATGTTCATTAATCCAACACTGAAAAGAGTCCCCAAGAAAAGCACATTTTAATCCTGTATGTAAACGATTTACAAGAAAATGTGTCGGCTTCTTGAGATTTCAGAGGTAACACATGGGATTATGACTGAGAGCAGAAAGTATTGTTGCAATAACCAACATTTTTATATTGTCTGTCTTATCCTTTTAAAAATGTTAATTCATTCCTGAAAGAAAAATCTTTTAATGGCAGTTATTTGGTTTTAGTGATAAAGGCCTATGCATAAACAATGGCTGATAATAATGACCTTTGCAGAAACCACATTACCCAGGCAGCTGGCTCTGCACACACCTACCAATATGTGAGCAGTAACACAAGTCAATGATTGGTTATCTTATATAATAGTCATACTTTTATCTCATCATAATTTGTCTAAGTTGCCGAGCCGACATGACATTATGTTGGTAAATATTCTCTTTAACAGTGGTCTTCTTTTGTTGTTGTGTTTTACAGTTCTTTTTCCTGGCTCAGCCAGTCCTGTATACCAGGCCCTGCTGAAAATACCATCCAAGTTTTGTCTCCTGCAGCAATTTCTCTCTTCAGTGTGCTCTTTTTTTTTTACATGTTGTCATTGTTGTGTGTCTGTATTTAGGTCATGTGTTTTTGTCAAAATACTATTTTTGGGTGTGGATTTACTGTGAGATGACAATGAGGTATTGATTTTGGCCATTTTTTAAATACAATCAGTGGCATTTTACAAATAAAGATGATCAAATTACTTTAAATTGGACTGTGTTAGCACACATAAATCAAACCAGTCATGCTGTGATCTTATTGGTTGATTGATGCAGTGGCAGGTAAGGATACTAGATGAATGATTTGCAGCAGACACGCTAGCCACACTATATCTGCTATTGTCATTTAGGTCATACTAATATATGCTGTGACATTTGTGTTTTTGGTAAGTAAACACTGATAGTTTGTATAGTGTTCTTGCCAAATCCCTAAAATTCTCTCTGTTGTGTGTATCTCGATTTTTCTCTGTGTGCTTTTAGTAGCGAAGCCGCCAGCGTGAGTCGCTTGTTTCAGTAAACGTCTCAATGAAAATTGAGGGCTCACCCAACTGGAGAAGCAGCTGTGCTTGCTAACCTTTGGTTCATGACTTAAAAAACACGTTCAGGTGATATATTCTTGGCAGTGTTCATTGGAGTAGTGTGATATATTCCAGCAATAGTTATGTCACTTCAATGATTATGTTGAATATAGGGAACTCTTCTCTGATCTGTAAGGTAACCATGTTGTTGAACCTTATTTGAGCAATTGCAGTGTGAAGACTTTTTCTGTTTGTCTTTTCCAAAGTGTCTTCTCTGTAGTTGATGTGTGTGAATATGTCGTTCTCTACTAATGCCTGTTTTTATCTTCCTGTAGGATCTATTCCAGATGAGGCTAAAGCTTTGTCTCTGTTGGCGCCAGCAAACGCTGTTGCAGGAATCCTGCCAGGAGGAGGACTTCTCCCGCTGCCCAATCCCATGTCCAATCCAGCTGTAAGACTCTAGATAATCTACTGTGTGTCCTCACTTCAAGGTCACCTGTTATGCAAAAGCCACTCTTTCATGTCTTTTATACATAAATATATATATATATGTCCTCCTGTGTGTTAAGAGATTGGGAAAGTTTCAGGTAAAAAGATAGTCTCTCGTTTTGTCCTGATCAATTCATATAAAAACCTGACATTTTTGGCCACTTTGTGATTCACCATTTTTCTTTGGGTTGTGCTACCACCAGCCAATAACCAACCAAAGTAACACCCACCCTCGTTATCACCTGAATCTCCTCCTAGAGCACCATTGTGTTTTTTTAAACTAAACATCTCTCAGAGGTGCGTGGCGAGTGGCAGCTTATTTTGCATTTAAAGCTACAGACACAGTTAGTACTTTTGAAACAGAAGGGTTTATGGCATTGTTTGGTATTGAAAAAGAGCATAATAGGGGACCTATTCAAGTTATTGTATTTTATATTTCTGTATTTTTTCTATATATAAACAATCTCACCTCAAAGTCTGTTTGGTAACAGGCTACAGAGGATATTACACGTTCTTCATCAGCAGACAGATTATTAAGTTCTTCAGTATTTAGTTAAAAAACAAAGGTTCAACATTTGAAAGGAGTTGCAGTTTTTCTGTTTTGATAATTGTTATTTGTGTGAGATCTCTTTTGTGTGATGGACACTTGTAAGATGTCAATATCTAAACAACAGGCTGCCATAGCAGAAGTTACTGAACATGCTTGTATTTGTTTAAATTCCAGATGGGAGGAAACCCTTTCGGTGTTCCGAACATGGATGCGATGGCTGCATTTGGATTCCCAGGACACAATATGAACCCACAGGTGAGCGGCTTTGTTGAATGACATTGACTTGAAGTTAAATATGAAGTGTCTGTCATAGTCCAACCCTTCTTCCTGTTGTCTTCTTTAGGCCGCTGATCAGCTGCTAAAGTTCATGACCGATCCAAAGTAAGTCATAAAAAAATGTGTCTTCTGGAAATTGTGGCTAAAGGCAGTTTTCAATCACGAATGAAAGAATTAGACATGTTGGTAGTAATGACAAGTCGACTAATTCATATTTTTCCTTCAGACTGAATCCTTTGGCTGCAGGCTTAAACCTGAGTGCGAGCCTGAAGGCGGACGCGTCTAATAAAGAGATGGAGGAAGCCATGAAGAGAGTGAGAGAGGCCCAGTCGCTCATTTCTGCTGCTATTGAACCAGGAAGTGAGTGCACAGACGTTTAGCTTTACAGTCAATAATAATAGTTGTGTGTGCAATGCAGTGTTCGTGTCATAATATTCCTTGTTTTTTTTACCATTTTCAAAAAAGTCCTTGTAAATTTAATTTTTACATTACTAATGAATTTAGTTTTCCTTCTCTTCTGCAGATAAAGAGAGCAAAAAGAAGCGCTCTCGCTCTAGATCCAGGTCCAGGAGGAGGAGATCCAGATCACGTTCAAAACACAGGTGTGTGATACTACTATGACTTATCTTTTGTAGTTTCACAATACAGTGAATTGATCTAACTGTACGGTTGCAGGAGAACCAGGAGCAAATCACAGCGGCGGCGGTCAAACTCCAGAAGCAGGAAGCGCTCCAAAAGCCCCCGCAGGAGACACACCGACTCCAGAGACCAAAGCAAGCGATCTCCGAGCAGATCACGGTGGGTTTGCCGTTATACATATTACGGTTTGAAGATGAACTCAAGCCTGATGGGGAAATTGTATTTCTAACGTAAATGGTATCTACAGGGATAGAAAGAAAGACGATTCAGGGAAAAGACGATCCAAAACACCGCCTAAAAGCTACAGCACAACCAGGAGGTCACGCAGCGAGGAGCGGTGAGTACACAAAAGGGTCTTGGGTGCCGAAACAAAGAAATGTAAAAAATAAACGTTCATTCTGTGGCCAGGGGTCTCAGTTTTCAGTAATACATGTTTTTCCTGTTCTGCTACACAGGAAACGCAGGAAAAGTCGCAGCAAGAGCCGATCTCCTCCTAAAAAAAAGACTCCATCTCCTCGACGGTTGGTATTTGGATGTGAAATATTTGTGCTTCATACCAGGAAGTACTTTATTTGAACCAAACGAGAACTAAAAGTCAACAATGTGTAATTATGTATTGGATTTAAACCAACTGTACTTAGATCCAACCCAACCTGACGTTTCCTCTCCTCCCTCCACAGACACAAGAAGGAAAAGAAAAAGGATAAGGAAAGGGACAGGGAGCGCAAGATTGATAAAGAGCGCAATCGGGAGGAACGTGAACGCTCCACCAGCAAGAAGAAGAAGAGTAAAGACAAAGAGCGAGATCGGGAGAGGAAATCTGACGGAGAGAAAGGAGATGTCAAGGTCAGCACGGTGCCTTTACCTCGCCACGAGCTTTGTTGTTCTGGTGTAAACCCGGGGCTGTCTATGCTTTAAAATGTTCCATCCATTGGCTTCCTTTCACAGATCACCAGGGATTATGATGAGGAAGAACAAGGCTATGACAGCGGGAAGGAGCGAGCGGACAGGAAAGATTCTGACGACTCTGCTTTGTCTCCTCAGTCTGTCGAAGGTAACGGCACCGCGCGGCAGGCCAAAGTAAACGGAGCTGACGATCACCACGAAGAGGACATGGATGTCAGTGATTAGGTCGTCCATCTTTGTCCCTCCTTTTCTGTTTTGGTTGTAAACATGTTACGACTTTATTCCCCACTGGGGTCGATCTAAAATGTGAAGTAAGCGTCAAATGTAATGATTTTTCGCACAGAAGAGTCGCTGTATTGACATTTTGCAGAGTTGGCCATATGTCCCATAGCTTTAAAGTACCCTCATGCTTTTGCCTCGGAAATAATCATAGTCTGTTAAAACTGGAAGTAGGTTTGCTTTGCTTTTCTCGAGCTTGTGTCACCTTTTTACACATATTGTATCTTTTACATTATTTTTGTGTTGTGGTGTGTTGTTCAGGCCTCTTCCCTCAACCTCTCGAAACAGTTAATACGTTTGTTTCTTATTTGAAAGTGTCGATTGTTTTATCAAGGATTTCTTTTATAATAAAGCCTATTTGGAAAAAAACAAGACTTTGTTTATAAGTACGAAGTTAAAATACTATTTTACTATATTTATGACCCATTATTATTAAAACATTTACAATTTCCAGCTTCCTATTATCCTATATTTGTGATTTACTGACTGTAAGCATTATTCACTTGGTTTTGATTGAAAGCCAGACAAATGAAAAAATAAATTAGCTGCTGTTTTTAGCTCAAAATAATTGAGTAAAAGTACCTCAATTCTACTATCACCAGCTCTCCCAATATATGCTTAAAAAGTCTTATAAAGTGTAGTCAAATATGTGACGGTGGACCAATATTTCATGAAATACTGTGTTTTTATTGTACTTGCACAAAGTCGGTTGAAACGTGATGCTGGTGCTTTATTTAAAGGGGCGTGAAGTAGGTATGGTTGCAGTACATATAAGCTGAAGCCAGAAACAACTGAATGGATCCTATTATTTCCCATCTGGACATTTTCAGGTTTCACCATCAACTTCACAGTTTAGTTTAATCTCATTGGATTAAAAAGGAGAAAGAAATGAACGCTACCATCAATGAGAGGTTTTGTAAGAACTTAAAAGTTGTTACAAAGTGTTACAAGTTTTCCTTAATCTTGGTACCAATAAATCGCTCTGAGAATATAGCTTAAAGATGCATGTGATCCAGTAGGCCAACACAGCCATAGCATGCCTTAAATATACTTAACATCAGTGCAGTATTAAACTAAGAACAGTTTACCTGATATCCCATCTCCCACACACAAATAGACACACAACAACCGTTGCTACAGAACAATTATTCACTCACACCGAGCACAGATTTCTTTCACGACAAACATGGAGACAGCCGAGAGGTAACATGAGCTAACCTGAACGCACAGGACTTTGCTTCCTGCACAGGGGAAAAGGCTTGGATATCGAAACTGTTAAATGTGTTATGCTAAACCTTCCCCCAGATGGTTAAAAACATTCGTACGTACTGGAAATATATTGCTACACAGTGTTACTTTTGAGTTTATGCATTTATATATAGTACATCATTTATAAATGAATATTAAGCTCAGTTGGAGGATATAGCTATATCTGTGATCTTATGAATTACAGATGAGAAGTGAATTATTTACAGTGTCAGTGCAGTTTTGAAAGAATGAGATTTCAGTAATAAGTCTTATAAGAGATGAGGATATAAGAGTAGATATTAAAACAGTGGGTGGTGAGGAGTCCAGACTGTGTCTTCTGACAGTTTCACAGGAAGTTACAGCAGCGTGGAACAGCGCATTGAGGTGCTCAGGTGGTGAACAGCTAATAAAACGAAAGCTATCACTCATTTCACAAAAAAAAAAACTGCCAATAAGCATCTATTTGTAAGATGGCGCTCGGTTACATCCGTTTGCATCAATTCACTTTGGATCCATCAGCAAAAATGAACAATAACTGATGAATAACACCGGTTCCCTTTTTTTTTTTTTTTTTTTAAACGGATACAATATATAAGAGTAAAACATGACAGGATTCCCTCTTTTTTTGTCTCGCACATATTAGCCCGCTGGTCATTTCCTGTTTGTGTCAGACGTGTTGACAGGTCAGAGGTCGGGGAAGCGACTGGGATCTTCTTTGTATTCAGACGGGATGACGAAAGTAGAGGCTTCAAATTTGTCATAGCGGAATTCCTGAAAGGTGACGGTTGCTGTGATGGTGGGGAAGACGGGGATGTCTGCGAGGGGGAAAACACAAGAAGGAAACCTTATTCTGTGGTTTTTGGACAAGCTCGCCCTCTCACAGGAGAGCAGCGGTATGTCTGCACGCTTACCGAGTTTAACTGGAAACCCAGGAGGAAGTTTCATCTGAACGAACTCCCGGAGTTTGTTGAAGTGCTTGAACGGGGCGATGACCTCCAACACGTTTAATAACCTAGAGGAAGAGGAAAGTGAGTTTGATATAACAGTATCTTGACTTGTGACCATTTACATTACATGTTAGACGCTTTTTATCCAAAGCGACTTACATACTCAATACTGTGGACAATCCCCACAGGAGCAATTTGGGGTGAAGTGTCTTGCTCAGGGACACAACGACATGCTGACTGCAGTGGGGTTTGAACCTGTGCTCCCCTGATCTGAACACCAACGCACTATTCCACTGCGCCACACGCCTCCCCATTTAGGGAGAAACAATGGCGCAAACAGTTATGTTTTATTTGATTTTTGTGTTTTACAATAACAAAAGCAATAACTTAAGAGACACAGTTAAACCAGATGAAAAGTCTCCTGCCATGCTGGTGGCTCTGTGTGTCTGCTCTTTGGCACAGCGAGGCTTTGAGCTAAATGCTAACCTCTACATGCTAACAATGAAAAAGCTAACATGCTCTTGAAACAGCAGTTAAACTGTTTCCCTCTTAGTAAGGTGTATTGCCAAGTCAATAATTCAGCTATCCCTCAGATGTATCTTGTGTTCCCCAGGTTGGAAACTACTGGTATAATAATTTGTATCCTGATATGTCAGCTTTGACAGAGGCTTTCAATCACAACATGTATTAAATTACACTGACTCTACATCTCAGTTGTAAACTATTCTCTAAAGAAATGGTCAGAAAGAAAACTAGCGGGGCTCAGACTGAAAAGCTAGAGGCTACAGTCTGTAAAATGCATCATTTTAAGACTATAAATAAAAAGTAATCCGCTACAAAACAAAAATTGCTATTTCTCTGCCATCATAGCAATGGTCTGTTTTGGTGATTAATGACATTAAACGGAACATTTTAAGAGAAGTGAGTACAACATATTTTTAACATCACAAAGCACAGAATGCTTATGAGAAGAAAACAAATCACATTAAAAAAACATTAGCTATTGTAAAGGGTTGGGTTTTATTGCAAGCTCCATTAGGGTTTATTCAGCAGAGATAAAGCAATTTACTACATGATGTCCCAGTAATATTTGACAGCACTGCCTGTAACCCATTACAGGAAAACACAAAACCACATCCTGTGAATCCTGCGTCCTGATCCACTCAGTGGAACATCCTGTATCCTCTAGAAAATCCTCTTTCACAGATCTTATTAGTTCTCCATCAACTTGGAACTCTTGCTTACATGATCAGGAGTTCTCAATATGAACTATTTCCGCCCGTGAAAACTCAAAGGTTGGATTTAAAAACGCTTAGTTCATTTAGGTTTCCTCATAAAACAATCACTAAAAGGAGCAAGCAAGAAACGCTTTATTTTCAAGGCAAAGCATTGTAACTAAAGCTCAAAGAAGAGCTGCAATTTACACTAAAACCAATATTTTTTTCTTATAAAAGGGACATTTCCATCACCAGAAAACGGGTGTGTAACTGGACGACAGCAGCAGATACCGTTTTAAGGAAAGAAAAAGTTAAAGTGAAGCCATTTTAAATCAGTGTCACTGTCAGTTTAAGTGGCCGTTTTAAATACTTAAATATATTCTGAGTATATATTACTTCAAACAGACCGAGCACAGCCAAAACAATGGCCTAGTTGATATAAATACATAAATAATCCAAAGCACTGACGGTCTGTTGTCACATGGTGGAGCAGTTGACTCATCAGAGGCTCACAAACAAAGAGCTTTACCTGGCCCAATTATCTGATCTTAACTATTGCTTCTCTACATTACGCTTTTCTCAAATCCCCAGAGCATCCCAAGAGTATTCACCCAGGATCAATCTGCGCAGAGAGCTTTGTAAATAGATCTGAGGAGGAAGGGATGTACTTACGACGCGATGCCTAGAGGGAAATCCTGGCTCATGGCTACAGTAGCTTTGAAGTTCTTCTTGCTCTCCTTACACACCAGCTCTCTCCCAAGATGAGGTGGCCTGAAGGTGCGAAGAAACACAGAAAATGCATTGCTTTCATTTCATATTAATACTCAGCATGTGAAAAGACTGTCTTCTAACTGCCCTGGTTACATTGCAGCAGAAAGTAGAGAGTCAAAATTCACCCGTCATGTGACCAGAGTGACGTGAGTTGACCAACATGACGAAGGGGGAGGATTTGGTGACAGAGCAAATAGCTAAATGCGTATTTGGTTAATATATTTTGGATTTAAAGGTCCCCTATTATGCTGTTTTTCATCAATATATTATAGGTCTCAGATAAATACAAACATGTCTCTGAAGTGTTTGGCTCCAAACACCAAACAGATCGTGCATTGTAGCATCCCATAAACCCCTCTGTTTCAGCCCTGTTTCAAAAGTGCTGATTCTCTGTTTGTTACTTTAGATGAAAATCAGGAGCCACTCCCAACGCCCCTCTGAGAGATATTTGGTTACAAAGAACACAATGGTGCTCTAGGAGGAGATTCAGGTGATAAGGTGGGGGGGGTTACCTTGGTTGGTGATTGGCTAATGGTTAGACAAGCCAAAAAATCGTTATGACATCATAAACTGGCCAAAATCTGATCAGCTCATTTTCAGACAGGTTTTTATATAAATGGATCAGGACAAAAAGAGAGAGAATCTTTTTTCCTGAAACTTTCAGAATCTCTTTACACAGAGGGGACACATGTTTATGTATAAAAGACATGAAAAAGTGGATTTTGCATAATAGGTGACCTTTAAAGAGCAGATATTGGCTTTCATCTACACATTTTTTTTCTTGTAAATTGGTGTAGTCCGTATCACTTCACAAGTTTATTACCGGGGAGAAAATGCCCCCTTCCCTGTGGAATTACAATGAATTCATAGAAAATATGAGCTACAGTACTTACTTCCCCTGCTCTGAAGTGATGTACTCTTCCCAGGACAGTGTGTTGGGAGTGGGAGCTGTGAGGGACAGCCGTCTCACCGGCTGGGGACAGGACAAGAATCAGTCATCAGGGCACCATTACCTTCAACCATTGGTAGATCAAGTTAGGACATTCTTTTTCCTCTCACCTCAAAGTTTTGTTCGCTGAGGCTGCCTCCTTTACTCAAGCTCTCCATGATCGCTTTGTTCCTCAAGATGTCCTCCTCACTAAGGTGTTCCCGCCGTTTCCGTGACTCGAGCACCAGCCCGTTCACCGTGTAGAAGTCAGCCAGGAAGTTCCCCACCCTCTCCTGCACAGAAAAGGTGTCGCTGTATTATCCTGTAAATTACCCAACACTACGGCTGGATTCTTAAAATGTGCCAAAGTGCAGCCTGAGGGTGTGACTGTACTAACTATCAGGAGACAACATATTTAAATTCCCCTTTCCTCTCATCCCTGAAGCAAGACACGTTTCTAAAGGCGGAAGATAGCAATTAGGTAACCACAGCTCTTCTAGATTCATAGTGCAACAAAACATTTCAAACACCAAAAATGACTTTGACGGTGCTGCAAACTCTGTACGGAGAGAAATGATGGATATTTGAATAAACTGACATAAACCTGAGGGCTGTGAGATTATCAACAGGAAAGAAAACAATTTTTTGCATCCCATCTCTGATACTTTTACCCATTCAGTACTTTAGGGAAAGGCCAAACTACTCATCTTATTATTATTATTCACAAAATATGGTGACAGTTTTAAAGTACACAATGATACTTTTTGAGTTTCCGTACAGTATAACCGTTGATCTAAACAACCAGGCCGCATTCACATTATATGTTTGGGAGGATTAGCAGACCATGACAATTTGAATAGAATTCAAGCTCAAAACAACCCTCAACGACCTGCCTACATGCAATGTTTTCATATTTAATCACAATCTAATGTGCCTTTAGTTTATATAGTTCAACCATGCCATGGCTTTGTGAACTGTGTTTAAAAAAAGCTACTGTAAACATCTTAAAAAAAATGTACATGGTTCTTTTATGTTGTTGGATGTGTAATGAGCTTTAGTAATGGTTTGTCCCATAAAGCTTACTGTTTTATCTTCTCTGAACAGCCAGCCGATCTGACTGCGAGAGAAACTGATGGACTTAGTGGACAGAGTGGCAGAGTAGACGTCACTGCCCATCAGAATATCCACCTCCTCCTCGGTCTCCATCTCTGACTCCTTGTTGGAACAAACAATGACAGTTAGGCGTTGCTGTTCATATCAAACAGCTGATGACACAGGTCTGGTTGTACCACTCCCTCACCTCGTGGTGTATTCTTTGGTACACTTTTGCTTCATTGTCCAGAACCACAAAAGACTGGGAGGGTTCGGCCTCGCCGTTGAAAATGAAGCTGAGATCTCCGCGCTGACACTTCATATCAGTGAAGTCTATGAGAGTGGTGTCAAGTCTAAATCAAGAGAGGAGAGAGTGTGTGAAGAATGTTCCGTCCTACTTTTTAAATCTAAAACAAGTCCTCGACCTGGATATCAACTATTCGCAGCTTTAAACACACAGCGAATGAGATTCTTTCAAACTGTTTTACCTGATGTTAAGGCCCTGCTTGTAGATTTTACAAGCATCAGATGGCAGCATCCGGGACAACAACGGCACTGAAATATAAACGATAGTGTGAATAACAACAAGTATTTTATTGAAAGCCTAAGAAACAACAGTTATCTTTAAAAAAAAAAAGCATTCAGTAAGGCAACAGCTGACCAATTCAGCCCAATTATAAGAATGCAGCAAAGTGATTTCAAGTCAAAGCCGGTCTTGTCAATGTTTGAGAAAACCCAATCTGAACTTTTATTTGTGTGAAATATGAAACTCACCCCAGCTCTGAAAGTCCCAATGCAGCTCCAGATAAAAGTCACCAAGCTGCAGAAAAAACACAAATGTCACCGGTCATAAAAAGTAGTACAGCACAGCACAGTGAATATTCCACATTGTGCATTTCAGCAGTTAACAAGCATACTCAAGGACAGGCAAAAGTCATTATTGCAAAGCCTGCAGTGATTTTGAAAAGCCAATGAATAAAAGAAGTTGCAAACCTCCTTTAGTGCTTTCAGTAGTTTTGGCCTCTTATCCTCCACGCTCTCCCTGGATTGCTGCTTTAATTTCCGCAGTATTGCTGTGACTGAAGAAACAAGGATAAGACAGGAAAACTGTAACAAATGTACACCTGAAAGATGATGCCTCATAAATACACATTTACATGACCTCTAGATATAACTAAACAAAGTCAACTGTGTATTAACAACAACAGTATGACTGAAATATTAATATTATTGCCCCAGAAGAAACCGAAGACACATTTTTACAGCAGCACTGATTAGATGAGCTGATACAACTGATGCAGCTCTTTCTCTCAGGCACAACAAGCAACACCACGTGGACCCCAACAAATCAACATTTCTCAGAGGTATCCTGGGTATCTCCACCAGCAGGGAAACATTGGACGTGCCTGAGGAGAGAAGTGCTGATGAGGCGCTGGCTGCAGCTCGTCATTGCATAGCTGCTGACGCAATGTGCACATGTGTAAAAGCGAAAGGTGATGACGAGACTGCAGTGTTTTGTGAAAAGCTGTACCCAACACATTTGATTTCAAGCACACATTATTCTTCATTTGTCCTTTTCACTCAGAGAAAGACAGTTTTGGGCTGCATATTATTTAACCAGAGGTCTGAATAAAACACCTCACGCTATGCCTGTATTTGCATATTCGTGCTAATGTGTGTGACTTTCCCCAGCCCCTTCTCTGCCTCCCCTTCACCCCTGCGAGTGGTGTGACCTTCTCAAAGCGCCATTCCTGGTCCCAGTCCCAGACCAGCCTGCCACGCATACTAACAACGTTGAGGGTCATTCCTCAAACTGCTCGGCCTCACAACCTTCATCACAGACTAGGAAAGGTATGCGGATATTCCAGTTAGATTATCTAGGCAACTAGCAGTGATATAAATGTGGCTTTGTCATAAAATCTGTGATTTGGTACACAGTCCTTTTATGAGAAACTTAGCCTGCCTTTTATCTTTAGTCTAATCTTTATGTACACAAAGATAATACCACAACCTAAAAAAAAAAGAAAAAACTGTGAATTTGTCCCAGAGGCATTAGTTGGTGCCTTTCATGTGTCATTTGACTCTTTTTCTCTGGATGTCAGGTCTAAAAGCAGCATCATCATTAGGCAGGGGGGGGGGGGGCCGCCTCACACTAAGCCAGAGTTCAGGCTGCGTTCCAGCACATCTGGATGATGAGTGCTCAGAGAAAATCCCCACTTTTATCTTTTAAACTGGAACAACCTGATAGCTATCTTTAAACAATTAAATCACTCACTTCACGTTCACACATAAGCTGTAAACTTTAAGCCCTGTTTGCCCTTTTCAACAATTTGCAAAACACAAGATGAAAAAAGTTGGAATTTGACAAAGATGCTCACATTAGTAACATCATATGGAAGTAGTAAAACTATGGCTTTCTCTTGAAAACAAACATGTTTGTCTTTTTCTTCTAAGCTATCCTGAGATGTACGACTGATTGTATCCCTCAAGTTACAGCAGAAACACTGTACAGAGTTATCTGAGATACTTCCTGAACACAGCACGGCCACAGTGCTGACATTTATCAAAGCTGATACAATGTAAGCATTCAAACAGAAAGCAGTTCCAGATGTCAGAATGACTGACTATTCTTCAAATTGAGACTGAAGCTGACACCATGAAGCCTTCGTAACTCTATCGGCCCGTCAGACATGCATCACCGAACCCACTGTTATAAGTATATTATTGCAGGTATGAAATTGAAACCATAAACACATCCAAATATGTAAACCCCAGGAAAGCAGACAGCGGTTCAGAGCCGTGTTGACATAAACTCACTCATCTGCCTGTCGCCGTAGCTGATGGCTTCTGCTAGAGGGCTCCATCCCAGTGCATTCTTTATCTTTACAGGAGCGTTATGGGCCAGGAGCAGGAGGGCACATTCTGAAAGAACACACAAAACAATAGTTAGACAAAGTTCTCTTTTCCCCTTTCTGCCTGTTTCTGTCTTTGATTATCAAGATGTTTCTACGGTCAGAGGGTGTTGTTTATTGTACAGATTGGAAGGGACTTATTTATTATTTAGGGCTGTATAAATACACTTTACATGATTGTGTATACTTTGTGCTGCAATGCATAACAAAGTATACATTTTCCTTCCTAAATCAGCTGTATTGGATGTAATCAGTGATGTGTTTTCCTTAAGATAACAACTATGTTAAACTTACAGCATGCTATCCTTATACTGCAAAAGTCCGTAAGACATGATGAATACAGGAGCATGGAGGCTACTCTGAAAAATAAAGAAAAACTGGCGTGCTTTTAAAAAGGGACTTTAATGAGGATGTCAAAAGCCCCTTAATAAAGATAATAATAACAATGCCACATTATTAGGCCATGGAGCACAGTGGATTATCATCTAAGAAGCTTCATTTGGCTCATTTTTGTTAATCCTGTGTGTGACAATAGCCTGGTAGGATTACACATCTAGTTCAACACATTACATTTTTCTATCACTTTTACCTTTGTGGCCCATCATCACAGCCACGTGAAGAGGTGTGTTCCCTGAAAGAGAAGCACGTAAGATGATCTCCTGAGTACATAATACAAATAAACATCATTGTGTGATGCATTTGAACAAAATACTCAAAAAGGCAGAACATAGCTCACCATGTACATCTTTCTGAGAGATGCTGTGGGTCCTGATGAGAGAGGAGAGCCTCCTCACATCACCTTTGAACACACACTCATGAACGGGGAAGTCCAAGTCCTCAGTGCTCAGGATTATTGGGTTCTTGTTGTTATCATTGACAATGGTGCCAATTGGTGATGGATTTCCATTAATGTTGTTTTCATTGAGCTGCTGTTGCAGTGCCGAGGTTTTCTCTGATTTCTGAAAAGCCTTGTTGGATTTTAAATGGTTACCGGTACCGTTAGGGATAGTCCCGGTTGAGGTCTCATCGTACGTGTCCAATATCTCCTCATTTTTGTTGGGTTTGTTGTGGTCCTTTCGCATGGTGCGTATCTTCTCCCCTGTCATGATGACTACCGCGCGTTAACCGGCTAACAAATTAACGTTAATGGGCTTAATCTGGTCAAAATGTGGCATCAATCTGAATCAAATATGATGTAAAATGATCTTGTAAACAAATGTAGCAAACAGCGATACTTTTCTAGTAGATGGTTGGTCGCTCTCTGTTATTCAAATAATGTTACACCTGCTGCTCCAGAGCCAGCGTTAGCTTCCAGCAAATGTTCGCTAGCTAGCCCACAATAAAAAATAAATATGGTGGGTGCGGCGATGAAAACACAAAATAATGTCTAACATAACACAACACACACGCACTAAATCAACATACAGCTAAGGATTAAAACGAATACCAAACGACTACATCATTGTCTATACCCCTGCGTGGATATAGGTTATCAAATGGTATCGATTCAGGTCGCTTTGCGGCGAAATTCAGGCGGACTGGATGGTACAATAAACCAGCTGAGCTAACATCCCTGCTAGCTTACTGCGAGTGGAAAATATCGCGAGATTTTTCTAAAACACACAGTTTGACGAGAGTTCATGCCAGTGATGTCATCTTAACGAGACGCATTTTTACTTCACTGCAAAAGCAAGAAGCTAGCTAGCTAGCTAACAAGCTGTGTTGTTTTGAAGAATGGCGTCCTCAAAGAAGGGGAAGAAAGTGGTAAATCAGGAGGAACTGCGACGCTTAATGAGGGTAAAACAGAGGCAAACAACGGACAAGAAGCGCGTGGAGTCTCCTTTTGCTAAGTACAACAGTCTCGGGCACCTCAGTTGTTTACTGTGCAATGTGCAGGTGAAGTCCGAGCTACTGTGGCCTGCGCATGTTCTTGGAAAACCGCACAAAGAGAAAGTTGCCGAGCTTAAGTCAGGGAAAAGTCAACCAGCGACACCACAGATACAACCGGTGAAGAGAAAAGCACCGGACACCGAGGACGACAGCGGGAAAAAAGCAAAACCTTCATCTTCAGTGCTATCAGACGATGTTTTTAAGAAACCCCACGCACCGGTTCCTATTAAAAAATCTGCAGGACTGAGTCTGTTGGCTGGAGTTTATGATGAAGATGATGAGATGGAAGAAGATGCTGGAGAGGCAGGATCTTCATCAACTCCCGCTCCCCAAAAGGAAGAATCTGCGGGACTACCTGACGATTTCTTTGACAGCTCCATCCCATCCACACCTGCCGTCTCCCACTCAGGATCCATCCTCAAAGCAGACGGGCAGGAGAAGAGCACAGAGAAGAAGGACAACTCAGCCGAAGCACTGCCAGAGGGCTTCTTCGACGACCCTGTGAGAGATGCTAAAGTGCGCAATGTTGACGCACCCAAAGATCAAATGGACAAGGAGTGGGATGAGTTTCAAAAGGAGATCCGACAGGTGAACACAAAATCTGAAGCCATCGTGGCGGAGGACGACGAGGAGGGTCGCCTGGAAAGGCAGATTGACGAAATTGATGAACAGATTGAGTGTTACAGGAGGGTGGAATTACTAAGAGATAAGCGAGATGTGGTGAAAAGGAATCAGCCACAAAAGGATGAAAGTATGGAGGTCGATGCCAGCGACGAGGAAGAAGAGGATGAAGAGGTGCTGATGGGGCTTCTGTCCGGGGACTGGAGGGCTAAAGGGGCACTGGCTTAAGTATCATAGTGATAACATTGAGAAAAAAGCCATGTGTCTGTCAGTAATCCAACAATTGTAAATATGTTTGATAAAACAGTGTCACCTCCTTTTTGTATATTTCAAACTGAAATAAATGTGATGCAGTGACATTGTTTTGTAGAAAAGTTCTGTCATTTCATCACTAAAAGGAACCATATGGAAATCAAACTTTTTAACTTTGTGTTTATTCATTGGTGCTCACACAAAAACACATTCATAAAATCTCCCCATTTACAGCAGCAGCATGGACCCAACATGTACAGTATGTCATTATGGTCAAAGCTGTTACATTGTCCTGCAAAAACAAGAAGTCGACTATGTTAAGTTTATAAATAATGTGTTCATGTCACAATATAAGCAACATGCAAAGCACAAGATAATTATTTTTAAAAAGAATGTACAATGTTGAGATTAAGACTGTAAAGAAAATGTGTCCCAACATGATTTGTGAGAATACATTTAAACCATTTTTACAGAGTACAACAATGTTTAAGTAGGACACATTTGTAATGTAAATACACCATTATTAGGCCCATAAAAATTGAATAAAATGAATCATATAAAGAGTGATGGTCAGTGCTTCTTATACTACCTGTAAAATATTGTGAGCTAGCTGTGCTTTCTGTCTACTGCAAATTTGAACAAGCAATATCTATATCAGTTTGTTATTGCTACATATGCCTCATAAGTAACTACTTCAAAACCCTTTATGAAAGTGTTCATAGCCCTTCAAAACTTGTTAAACTGAAAGCTGCAAAAAAAAAAAAAAATTGTACAGATGGAGTAAATACAATTAAATTGTAGTAACTAACTGAAAATAGATGAGGAAAAAACACTACGCAGAAAAGGTTGTTAGCTTAGGAAAGAGCGTAGATAATCCATTCTCTTATGCTCAACTGTGTTTCAGTTAAGTTAGGACCATCTGTCTAAAAACAAAAGACTCACAAAAACAGTTTCTAGTATTAATTTGTAAACAGTCCTAACATTCTACAATTAAGGTTCAGGTGAGTTCTACCAGGTGTTAGTTTTGATGGGTTGGGTAATAGGCTGACCATTACAGCCTCCAGGAAAGCTAAATACACACAAAAGTCGAGATGGAACAGACTGACAATAAAATTAAAACTGAAAACCGTAAGTCTGAGAATTAAGGGTGGAAAACAGGATTCAAAATAATTCTAAACACTTCCCCCGTTTTTATTTCATGTAATCCAAGAAATCTTCTAAAATCGAAGCTGAATATACTGTATACAGGTTGTTCATTTAAAAATGTAAGAGTATGGTTCATGAATTAGATTGTGATGAGACACACCAGGATGTGTGAGAATGGGGCATGCCTGCACCACTGTTCCACAATCAGAATGATAAATATACAGTTCACAAAAGTGCAGCAATTACAGAAAAGGGTCAGGAACTTCAAACTACCAGACCCCGCTGGGTATTCAATACTGTTCACTACTGTCAGTGATGATGTGCTCACCAACCTACAGCAGCTCTAAGCTCCATCAGGGAGTACCTCTTGTCTCCGTCATTGTCAAAACACTCCATGGTACGAGCAGTAGTTGATGTTCCAATTATTTCCCTCAGGCTGCGGTAGGTCAATCCGGGCGAATCAAGCCCGACGCCTTCCTGCTGGTAGAAGTCCTCCAACTCTGGGAAAAGAATAATATAATATAATAATCAAAAAGAGGGCTCTGCACTCTTGAAATGGCACTTTGCAAAACTGAAAATATTCATAGTACAATTTTGTAGCCTTTCTTGCGGAGAGATTCATTTTACTCATATCATGTCTGTCTGTTAAATACGCATCAAGACAGAAAATGAGGGGAAAATGTAGGGATGCATGATGTATTGTTGGGAAATGTATACTACTATGTATTGATCCGATAATGCAATTATAGGCAATAAATTATTAGCCAATAATGAAAGGCCAAATTGCCTATATTAACCCAACTAGAGCAGTACACACAGTTCAGCAAGATGCGGTAAGCACCTTTAAAGTTGCATTGCAAATAAACACAGAGTAGAAAAAAAGAAAAACAATTGCACACTGCACACTGAATAGAAACCCAACAAAATATACATTTATAATTAAGTTTTGTGATGTTTGCTACTAGAATAAATAAATGAACATTTGAAGAGCCAGTTCTTTGATTTTGTTATAGCTCCTTTGCTTGTATGTACGGACTCCAAGTTAACTTTTAATGGGGTTTGCAGAGCATTTCTTAAATTGGAGCAGTAACTACACAAAGTCTTGTGATCACAGTGTGGTTGCCAGGCAACTAGAGGAGACTTCATATATCATAGCCTTATGTTTACTGGATGACATGGGACTCATTTCGATCCCAGCAAGAAAGCAAATATGTGTATTTACCAAACTTTTTATTTAATAAAAGCTTAGCTATCAAATTGGAGTAGTAGTTTGCACCTTTCAGAGAGCGGATACCATACAGGATCACCCTCCTTGGGCATGGTTTCAAAGCCTCTCTCTTAGCACGGTTTGGAGTTAGAAAGCGTGGGCGTCTGCTTGTATGAGGCTCTGTCAGTGGGGTGGACACCTCTGTAAAGAAAAGGGGAGGAAAATATATTAAAAAGGTAACAAGGGGCAAAATAAAGACCCTGTAATAAAGTGAGCTATCCTACAGTGTACCTTGCACGTCCTCAGGTGTTGCTTTGGTTGTAGTAGCTTCTTTAATAACTTCTGTTGTTGGACTTTCACTGGTGATGGCTGCTGCGTCATTCACCTTTGACTGTGAAGCAGATGTAAAGTGCATTGAGTTCTCTTTTACCTTTGAAGTCAGTGATCAACATCCATACTTTTAAATGCAGAAATAAACGTAAAAGCTTCATATTACTCACGCTTTGTTTTGACCCGTTCTCTAACGACAACACTCTCTGCTGAAGCTCTGCGACCGTAGAGAGGAGGATGTGGATCTGCCCGTCAGTCTGTGTGTGACGCAGCTCCTCGGTCTTGTTCGCCTCACCTACTGCTTTTCTCAGGTCTGTTATTTCCTATGACAAGAAATATACATGTAAAGCAACATGCAGTTTTTTGTAAGCGGACATTTCTATGTGTTTATGTGAATTGTAGACATCCAGGCCATTCAAAATGGACTATGGACATCACAGTCAGCTAGCAATTCATCACTGACTAAATCGCTGAAAATGATGTAGTTTAGGATTATTATTATTTGCTGATCCTCTTTACCCATCCTATTTTCCTTATGAAAAATAAAGTGGAGAAAACATTCTGCAGTTGTCTCAGATATTTGACCTAGTTTCCCTCAACAAACTAAAGCATCTAAGATCCCAAAATAGATTGGCACTTGTTTCATGAATTATGAATGGAAACCCAATGCGAGAATCCAAGAAATGACAGGACCTTCTAAGCCAGACTGCTCTGTCAATGTAAGCCCGACAGAATTTGCAAAAACATTTGTGCATGCGCGAGTAAACAAATAAACATTACACGTTAATCTGACAGTGGCAAAGTTCACTGCGGATTCAATTTCTGGAAAAGCGCCACAGTTGGGCAGATCAACTGAAATTAATCAACAGAAACATTTTGGCCATATGGAGAAAGATTTGCCTCAAAATGGAGAGAGCTGAATATGCACAAAGCAACATTTCTCAGCTGGGAACTGAGAAGTAGTACATTAGGCACGCCAAGTTACTGAACTAATCCACTTATCAAATCAAATCAAATCAAATCAGGTTTTATTTATATAGCACATTTAAAAGCGATTTTTGGTCGAGCCAAAGTGCTGTACAGGTAATAAAAACACATTACTACAAATCACAATAAACGACAATAAATTACAACAGATATATCTTAAAAAAAACAAAATAAAAATAAAACACACGGAAAAGTCAGGAGTCGTGCTTCGCTCTAACTAGAAAGCCAGAGAGAAGAAGTGTGTTTTTAGTTTTGATTTAAAAACCCCCAGGGTCTGGGCCGACCTCACATGGAGGGGCAGAGTGTTCCAGAGCCTAGGGCCAGCTGCTGCGAAGGCTCGGTGCCCTCTGGTTTTTAGCTTGGTCTTGGGCACTACCAGCAGCAGCTGGTCAGCAGACCTTAAAGCTCTGGCTGGGGTGTAGCGCTGGAGCAGTTCAGCTATATAGGCCGGAGCCAGCCCATTTAGTGCTTTAAAAACAAATAAAAGGATTTTAAAATCAATTCTGAACCGAACTGGAAGCCAGTGTAGTGAGGCCAGAATAGGGGTGATGTGGTCGCGCTTTTTGTGGCCAGTCAGCAAACGTGCAGCAGCGTTTTGGACTAGCTGTAAGCGTTTGATTGAGGCCTGGTCCATACCCACATACAGAGCGTTACAATAGTCCAGTCTCGAGGTTACAAAGGCGTTAATAACCCTTTCGAAGTCTTTAAAAGATAAATACGACTTGGTTTTGGCCAATAGTCTTATTTTAAAAAAGCAGGATTTTACTACGGTGCTGACCTGCTTGTCGAATTTAAAAGTGCTGGTGAAGGTCACTCCAAGGTTCATGACCGAGGGGAGGATGTTTTTTTTGATAGAGCCCAGAATATCAACCGGAGAGGCTGGAGGTTGCGGTCCAAAAAAGATGACCTCGGTCTTGCTCTCGTTGAGGTTGAGGAAGTTTTTGCTCAGCCAGGATTTTATCTCTGCTAAGCAGTCCATCAGCTGCTGTAGTGAGTGTGTGACATTTGCTTTGAGAGGCAGATAGAACTGTACATCGTCGGCGTAGCAGTGTAAGGGAATGTTATGTTTTGTGAGTATTGAACCTAGGGGCAGTATGTACAGTAGAAAAAGGATGGGGCCCAGAATCGAGCCTTGGGGAACCCCACAGGTAAGAGGGGCTTTGGCAGAGGAGAAGGCACCTAGCTGTACCGAGAAGCTACGGTCTGTCAGGTAGGACCTGAACCATGCAAGGGCAGAGCCTGTGATGCCAGCGGACTGTTCAAGCCGTGACAGCAGGATGCTATGGTCCACAGTGTCAAAGGCAGCTGTCAGGTCTAACAGCACCAAGACAGCTGGGCTACCTGAGTCGGCGGCTAGGAGCAGATCATTAAAAACTCTTAAAAGGGCTGTTTCAGTGCTGTGCATGGGTTTGAAGCCAGACTGAAACTTTTCATGGATTCCATGCGTGGTTAAAAAAGACTGCAGCTGGGCGTAGACTACTCGCTCCAGGGCTTTTGATAAAAAAGGTAGCTGGGAGATGGGCCTAAAATTTGCGAGAATGGAGGGGTCGAGATTTTTCTTTTTAAGGAGTGGCTTAACCACGGCATGTTTGAAGGCAGCTGGGACACATCCTGAGCTAAGAGAGGTGTTTACAAGTAATAAAATACTTGCTCCAACTGAATCAAAAACATCTCTGAGAAGGCGAGAGGGAATGCTGTCTGAGGTGCAGTTTGTCGGCCGCAGGTGCTTGACTACATTCGAGAGAGCACAACGCACTGTTAACTTGTTTTCTAAACACTGCTCTCCATACGTTTGTGCATTAATAATAAATGAGAACAGCAGCCGTGAGCTATATTTGAAGTGAGGGTAGAAATGTAATGAAAAAAGACAGGCTGTCAAACAAAATAAGTGAAATCTTTGAATTCGGCTCATGAAAAATACATGTGCTTTGCTCATGTGCAAAACACTTGAGCTTGCAGCCCTATTTACTATTTACAAAAGGAGCACAGCTTCAGAATCCTCTGTGATATCTGTCATCTGCCCAACACACTGCATAGAGATTTTAGCAATTTGTTACACAATTGGAAGAATGAACAGAAAGTCTAGTGGCTATGATTTTTCTATATCTCTTCACAAACAGTCATCATCGACTGAATGGTACATATACTGTATATGTTGATTCATTCTGAGATAAAAAACTGATGATTAAATTACCACAAACTTAATGTGTGAGACTTTTAAAGTATGTAACATTAACTTTGCAAGGCAAGAAAAAACAAGAGATTACATAATAATCTCCAAGTTTAAATAAGGACCTATTCGAAATTAGCTTGAATTTACCATTGCTTTCTTCAACTCTTCATCTTTCTTCTGCTGCTCAAAAGCAGCCTGCATAGTCTTCACATCGTGCTGTACACTTGTTAGTGTGCTGCCAATTGTAGCAACACTCTGGAACACAAAAAACACACTTCCAGGTCAATTGTGAAAATCAGTACAACACATAGAATATCCGTTGATAAAGATTCTCAAGCAGATTTCATCCATCAAATTATTTTAGCTTTTACCTTTTGAAGCTCTTCAACTGTAGTGGGAAGGCTGACTAAGTCAGCAGCTGATTTCAAGTTGACCTTTAAATGGTTTACAGCCGAGTCCAGCAAACTGATCTGCAGGAGTACAATTACAAAAAAGATTAAGTTACATCTCTAAGATAGAGTTACCAATCTAGTCAATACTTTCAAAGAAAACTAAGACTAGCACAAAGTTAAAAAGTTAATGTCAAGAAAAGATCAGCAACTGACGTATGACAAACACGGTAAGTCTTGATGCTATCCCTTTGTCATGAGCTCTGGTGGCTTTAAAACCTCTAAGCGAATAAATAAAACTGACCTTTCTGTTAATTTCTGTTAGGTTGGACCAGAGCTTGCCCAACCCCTTGTCTCCATTTTCTATGTCGTCAAGCTTTCTCTCCTTGTTTTTCAGGTCCTCATTTAGTTTTGGTATTTCACTTGATGACACTTTCTGGCTGGATTCCACTGTTACAAAAACAATAAAATAAGTTTACAGGAGTGTTACGGACAAAAGAACATGTAACCGGCATATAACAGGTTTTTATTGTTCAAAGGGCAGTGAGCTTTTTATGACTCATCACGAGGTAACTGTCTTACTGCTATGCAGCTTTTCTTTCAGCGAGTCTAGATCTTCCTTCAGAGCAATCTGCATCCATATGAGTCCAGCACAGGCCATAACGCAGGCAGCAAGTATGATGAACAGAAACAAGGGGTAGCACACATTGCAGCACTGCGTGTAGCTTCTTCTGTAAGAGAAGACACATGGTAATGTTAGACATTACAACTGCACAGCTTCTTTCATTATTCATGTAGGAGATATTCTAAGAAGGCTACATTCTGTGTCATGGGAATTATGAGGATTATTGGTAAAAACCGTCGCTTTAAAACACGAGTTGCTACATTCTATATTATTTTCATGCTGAATGTAGCATTGATTGTTTCTAATTTTGAGTTGAAACTTGATATATTCTCAGTGTGCAAGATGGGTCATACTTTGCTTTAACCTGAGCACAGACGAAGAGCAAGTGGATTGATTGGGCCATATTCAAATATTTCTCTCTGCACAGAGTGTAGTATAGGTCATGTGCACCAGGGCAGAGGAAACGTTCTTCTTGTCTGGTTAAGGATTTAAGATTTAATGCAATCCTCCTGTATGTCCTAGTAAAGAAGAATGGAATACTATGTGCCATAGTGATTTATATGGTATGTGATCTGTTTGCAATATGTTGGCAACTTTAACACCATTACAAAAATGAATTCCACATAGTTAATGGAAAGTCATGTTCATGATGCTAATGTTGTTCAATGTTTCCAATATTATATTTAAATGCTTTACTTAAACTTTGCATTTTACTTGCACATTCCTCTTGCCTCATTTTATTTCTACTCTGTTTTTTCTTAAATTAATTGAATTGTTTGTCTTTGTTTTTTCTCTGTTCGAAATAAAGATATACATGTTTTATGTCTCATATATATTTATGTTGCATTGCTGGAGGAGCCTGGGACTTTAGATTTGCATTGCCATAACTACACTGTGGTTACTTTGCATATGACAACAAAGCCTTTGAATCTTGAATTTTCTTTTGAAAAGTGATGACAGTTTAAAAATAACACTCGTACTTTACCACAACAAAACCTTATTAAAGTGATCACTCACTTCCCAAAGTTAGCCCCGCTGCTCAAGTTGTTGAACTCATCGTCATCTGAGCTGGAGTCGGACTCAGAGTCCGGAGGCTCGGTTCGGAGAAGTCGGTGACCAGACCCCTTTTTGCTCTTCTTTCTCTTGCTGTCCCCTAGCCCGATCAAGGCATTCAGTTCCTTCCTCTTCTTCATCTTCTTCTGAGGCGTCAGCGAACCCACCGAGCCCGATTTAAACCCAACTAAGTCCAACGTTTTGTCCAGCTTGGTGGATGTTGTCGTTTTTGTATCAGCTGAGATAACTTAAAGTCCTCTTGCTAGCTTAAATTTAAACCACGATAGGTTGCTAACGGATAAACACATCGGACGTTTCCGGTTGTCTTGACCAACAACTAATATACAAAATTAATCAACAGCTGATTGGTATCAGGCACCCATAAACCTTCTTCAAAACAACTTTGTCCCCTAGCTACCGGGTTGTCACATACGTTAGCTAGGCTAGCATCTGACACCTTGCTAACGGTAGCTAACAGAAGCTATCGGTACAGTGCTTTCACATCGTCTAAGCGACGTTTGAAAATACGTACCTCGGCGTCTGTTATCTTGGAAGCGCAATAACAAGTCTTTGAGTTGATTGATAAAACCTGTCTATCGTAAAATCTAAATATCCTACACTGAATTTCCAGCGATCCGTCCTGCTGCCTGTATTATTGTGGCAGTGCGTCCAAGTAACCTCTCAGCTGATTGGTGCAGTGAAAACTACAACTTCCGGGTATCAGTTCTGACAGGGAGCACACAGAGCACAACACCGCCAGCACTGATGCTGCACACTGTCAAGAACCATGCAAGTAAGTCGACCTAGCAAGAATCAGAAAATTGCTTCGATATATTAAGGAGTTACATGTTATGAACCAGCTAAATGTATACAAAGTGACTTCTGGCGTGGACAGTTAGAATGACTACCATTTAAAACAATGCGTTAATATTCTAGATATACTGATAATTGGTATCAAGCTAAATTCCACTGAGCATGCAGCCAAGAGCTAGTTCCAAGCAGTGGCGGGCTCAGGCAGTGTGAGGGGCAGGGGCCAAAACTGTAAACAAAATAAATGGCATGAGGGGGGCACCAGCATGGATCCAAAAAAACACCAGTGCACAAAAAGTGTTCTTGCATGTGAGCATGCCTGTATAGTATTAGCACTCCAGGGCCAGGGCAGCCTATTGACCACAAAGTCAACAACTTTAGGTAGGCATCACAAACATGTAACGCTAAACATAACGTGTATGCTGACTCTTTTAACTGGTGACCTGAATGTGTCATGGTAGTTTGTAGTGATGGCAGCTGTTAAACATAACTTGAAGGTGTCCTCTTCAAAGGCTATGGTTACCAGTCACTCACAACCTGCCAGGTGCAGATGGCTCCAGATGGGGGAACACACAACATTGTCACCAGATTTCTTTTTGTGGCACTGCATCATGGTTAATCCATTTGAACGCCACTGTAGATGGCACTGCATCTTGTTTTTCCGCTGGAAGTGCACTTTAGAGGTTTCATTATTGTGTATTATGTACCAAAGGGACATCCAAGAGAGCAATTCTTTTTGCATTTCTCTCAGACATGTCTCCCTTTCAGAGTGAATTTCATTAACTTTTGTTTAACATTTTGCACTAAGCTGATATTCTGTCCATAATGGCCAAGGGAAGGTTATTTTGGTGTTGGGGTTAATCATGGGGCTAATTTCAAGGTCCAGTGAAGTCATCTTTATTGTTTTATTCATTTTCAGTTTTTATGTATTTAAGGTATTTGTTTTCTGAGGTGCGTGTATTAGTTGACCTACTGTTTGCTGAACAATATTGTGATGATAGGATCTTCAGGATTTCTTCTTGCTTACATGGATGATTCTGAGCAAAGAAAAATAATGATATAATATAGTGATTTGATGATTTAATTATAATGATAACAATGCCAGCCGTAATCAGAGCCATTCATAAGAGTGCAAAAAACCCTGATTATTTTGTATGTATTGATCTGGATATTTATATTCTTCATATTGCTTGTTTGTCCAAAACTAAAAATGTTAATCTTACAATTGAAATCCTTGAAAAAACCTTAAATCCTAACAGCAAACGTTTGGTGTTTTTCATTGACCAAACAATGAATCAGTCATTGAAAATTATGTAAATTCCTGTAAATTCAATGCTATTTGACTAATTGTTGCGTTATTAACTTGCATGTTTGTAGCGTGCATATTTATATATCTACAGGTTATCCTCAAGGTCTTTATCATGTTTGTGTGTTATGTTGACATAATCATGTTTATAAATGCAACCCATTCTATGAAACAGTATTTAATTTTTCCTTTCAATTTCCCTTTTCCAGCAGGGGTCCGGCAGAGATCCAGCTAACCTGGAGCGCTTTTGGGCCGACCCAGCAAGACACATGGGCTGAGTCGAGGCAGGGTCTCTGCAGTCTGGCCTTTAGCTCTTTCTCATTGAAAACGGACTCCCACTGACCTGCTTTTGGCTTTGAAAAGATGTTCCTTTATGTGGCTGGCCCCCCACAATACCTCACCACAATACTATTAATAATGACACTGGATGAAAATCTCCACACTGGACCAATTTACAAAGGAACTGAGATGCTCCTCAGCTTCTCAGTACGACTTTAGTTATTGAGTTGCGCGAGATTGACATCCTACTGCTGATGCTTTATTATCCTCAGAAAAGAATTGCTCAGAGCAATGCATGATGCCGACCACACAAACACAACGCTAATATTATAGTAGTAAGAAAGGATGTGCTTGCCCTTTTATTGAAGAGCGTTTAACGGCTAAGCAGCTACTGTATTGTTTTGAATTCATTTGCTGTGAATCCAGCTGCGACATGGGTGGGTAGCAGAGCAAAATTCAATCACTGGCTTGTATGCACTAAGAACACCTGGTGAGGGGACAAGCATCATGCTGAGGGCTTGCATAGATCCCCGCCTGCACTTGGCTGCAACTCAAAGCATCAGAGGTGTTTCATCTCTGCGCTGGAGTCTCCGGGGTTAAGACGGAAAGGATGACGCTTCAACTTATGGATCCTTGCCTCTACAGCCACAAGGTATGGATCTGCAGGCAGTAGAAACCCTCTACTGTGATTACTACAAAACACTTGTTTTTACACTTTGTTCACGGCAGGGTTCTAATATTCTCACTCGAAGTGATTCCCACAACTGTCTGACAGGGAGCTGCGTTGGGTGCTGACAGAGAATGTAAATAGCGTTGGCATGATAGGAAATACTGAATAGAATTGACTGCTAATTGAAGGCTTTCATCTGACAAGGCAGACGGTGTGAATACAGATTATCATCAGTTGGAAGCAGGGCGGCTGTTAGAATACCAATTTCTCTCACCAGGTGTTTTTTTAATCGTTTGTTTAGAATCCTTCAACAATTATTATGTGGGATAACTCAACTAGTAGACATTACAATTTCATCTTGAAATAAGTGTTTGCTGACAGATGAAATGGGACCCACATGGTGTTTAGAACAGTCACACATGCTTGAACTTATGAACTTCCTCTAAGTCAGCTGCCAACTGATGCTTTATTAGGAGACAAACAGTTATGTAACACTGAGGCACAGGCTTTGTTTTGGTTTGCTCGGCTTTCATTATTCGTTGTTGACCCTTGTTTGTGTTATTGAAGGATCGCAAAACATTTTTTGATTACAAATTCTATTTCACTAGATTTACTAAAGCAATGCTTGATCTACATTCAACATTCTACAATTAATTGACATCCAGTATAGCAGTTACTATAAGAAATGAAAAAAAATGTCATTTTAAGTTTATAAACATTTGATTTGTGATAAAAAAAAAAACAACTCTCATAAAGCAAAGGTTAGTATATATATAACCCATTCATTCAATTATGTAAATAATATGACGTGACAAAAAGTAATCTAATTTTACACTATCTAGGGAACTAAGCTTTGTTTCACACACATTTTTTTAGATTTAGCTCATGTTTTTTATCCAAATACATTTGATCAGAAAGAATTAGAACCGTTGCACGTATGAGTACTAATACGCAGGCATCACAGCATGGATAGCTTCAGTGAGAGAGAAAGGTTTGCCTAATGCAGCTGCATATGTGTAATTCATGGCAAAAAAAAAAAGGGATCCAAAAATGTTTGTTTCTTGACGCTTACTGCCCTAAACTGTTTTTCAGAAATGATGTCCTATAGTAGTCTACTAGGGCAGGGACTTTGCCTCTCTATTAACTCAGTTTCCAAATGTTTTCTTTACTAACTCGGATCATGATTGTTGCTTATTTGGTCATGAATATTTAATGTCAAAAAGATATATTCCAGATTTGAAGTTTTCAGCGGCTTTAATGCTGCAGTGAGAATACCGCTGCACTGCATTTATTACCATGTTGTTTTTTATTATGCAATGAATATTTATTCAGGATGTAAGTGAATAATTCATTTTACTCAAACTCTTTTTCTATATGATTTACCAAACACTTTGGCGCAGGGAGTCTAATCGCATGTCAACAGCTTATCCAGAACATGAGACATATTTTTTTTTCTACAGACGAAACTCACATGACAAATGATCGAGAGTTGTGACATGAGAGAAGAGCGGACCAAAAAAAAAGTTGTCAAAGCTAAGAGTGATGGCTTTGTAGCATTTGAGTAAACCCCATTCCACCTGTATCTGTCAGTCAGTCAGCCTGGCTGGTGGAGGCCTCTGATAGTGTACAGAAGGGAATCAGCAGGGGGCAATGTTCTCACATCAAACAATCACACACATGCAGCAAAGCCTCAACACTCAGTCAAGGACAGAGGAGCTCTGAATCACTGGCTCGGCTCGGTCTAATGGCTTCAATGCAAGTATCTTTCATATCCAGCACAGCGGACCTCATTGATAGTTTTCGTGCTGTTGTATTGACTGCAGCATCCTGTGCAGAGCTCTTATGATTGTAAAGGACTCGTAGACCTAAATATTTTACACAGTGCCAGACTCAACATTAGCAACATACATACACAGCCAGCTATGTTTAGGGAGCAAAAATGCATTTGAGATCATGTAGCCATTAATAATTTACTCAATTGTAACATCCATTGAGGGTTGCCTGGAAATATTTTCAGTGTAAAAGCAAAGATGGAGAGGCAGCTGACAGTTTGACGACTATTTGCAGGTTTCTTCGTATCTCTCTCGCTGTTGAAGTGTCAGTTAAATGCCTTTAAAAGTAGAAGGGCATCAGACAGGAACATCATGATTTAGCGATTAATTCTCTGTCTACTGCCTGATATCACACTGTGGCGACACTTAACTGTATTGGCCACCACTGCAGTGATACCGAGAAGGTCTAATATAATCTAAAATAGATAAAAGGGAATAGATTAATATATTAAGCAAATGAAAGGGGTGAGAGAGGGAAAAATGAGACAGGGCTCTTTGATGGAATTTTGTTGAAAGTTCAAACAATATGCGCAATAAATTCCAGAGCCATCAGAGGTTGTTGTTTAGCATAAATGTATTTTACTCAAATCACTCTTGTACTTATATGACCTGTCTTGTTGCTATAAATAAAACAGTTGTACTGATGGATCTCCCAAATTGTGTAATACAGCTCAGTATAGGGCAAAGATATCATGCATTTTGAACTCAATGAGATTTAAGGATTGGTTTCACAGACAGCAAGACAAAGTTC